AACATTTTAGCTATTAACGGGAGTGTTACCATAAACCCTGTTTTTTATGAGTCTCCGATATAACTATATGGACTGCCTAAGATATATAAACTGAATGTGTCGCTACGTCCGATCGTGGGTCAGATAGATGTAGCAAAAATATTGCGGCCATTAGTGAGACGAACATCGTCGTTTGTAAAGGGTTCTCGCCATGACAAATACGTGTATGTATGTATGTTTGTGCTTGAGCGTATGTGTGTGTTTAGTAAGTCTTTGTTTGCGCATGATTCTTTTTGTGTGACTACTTTTTCGTAATTCAGGGATTCTAACGAAGTATGTATTAACTTTTTACACTCACTCGTTATGTCCTTATGTAATAGATATCTATGAATAGAGCCAAAGCGAAGTCTGTCTAATACTGTACACTGAGATACATTCAATTGTAAAAAAGGATAAAAATACTAAAAATAAGCTGTATAGATTTAGTTTCCTGTGCCTTCTTAAAAAGGAAGAATTTTTAAGAAAATATGCCACTGGTATGTACAGATAGCCACAGGTCAAGTTAGCCAAAGCTGTCAAATTTATTCAAATAACTTTGAGCTTTAGGTGACCTGATATACGATCCATAATCTATTGACTAAGAAATTCAGTTTGTGGGTGGGATCAACTGGTAACTTGAGGTGTGGTCGTTGGTACATATTAGTAGTACACACAAACTGTAACTTTTTTAAATATGAATCTTATTCTACTTGCAATATAACTCAAAGACAATTGGAGAAAATTGACAGTTTTGAATAATTTCAGCTCAGTGTCAGTGATTTGCGTAGAGTCAAGATTGTGTATTTTATTTAGCCAAATCACTCAGCACGAAGTTCAGCCAACCTGCTCTCACTCTGCTCTGCTAAAGGTTTCCTGGACATTAGGTTACTGAAAAGAGGCCAGTATCTATTTTAATCATCAAACTTCAAATATGAGTTTTATCGAAGGTGCACCTCGTATTGTAACCTCTCGTTGCAAAATAGTGTATCGAAAACCAAAGTGGCAAGTGCATCAATTCAAGATAATAAGCGGTGATATATTGTGTACAGTTGCTGTGTTAAAAATGAATAATTCGCTTCTCTTATGGATTGGCAACGGTGCTAGAGGTAAATGCGAACTGGATGAGATAGGATTGGGCATGCCGACCAACGAAAATAACGGATCTAGCCACAGGACTTCATTAGCAACCACGCTGCTGGGAACAGAGGGCTTAAGCACAGCAATTTCGCGTCGGCTTTCGTCGTTCTTGAAGCAGCCAGTATATGTGTGCTCTGGGGAACAATTTGATAGATTCACAATACCGTTGGTTGAACAAGGACTATTATCTGAAATAAAAAGAAAGCCAGAGTGTTTTCGTTAATATTAAGTCAAAATATAATTTAAATGAAATGAATAAAGACTGTCTTTTTATTAAACATAATATTGAACTTGAACAAAATCTTTTATTTAGCTCTGCATCACTCACAATCACAATGCAGACCTATACTGTGAAGGTGCACTTCAATTTGATATGGGGCAACCCTATTTGTTATAAAATATATTTTATAATCTTTTAATTTTGACCCAAGATTGGAATTCTGGTATATTTTGCTCTTCATTTACTAAATCCAGCTTTATATTTTTATACTATCTGAAAGTAAAGAGTGATTAACAGAAGACTGGTGAGTTCCCTCGACTTTGTCTGTATAGAAATATTAATTTTCCATACAAACTTTGGAGGATTTATTTTTTATAATAAAAACTATCCTATCTATGTTCTTTCCCAAGACAGAAAGAAAAAACACTATTTTAGTATAAATAATAATAATTTATATCCAATAAGTTGTTACACCATCAACACATTAATTAAGAACACATTAGATAGTATACAGTACCCTTAGTACGAGTTTTACAATTATGAAAACTATGATAGTTTTTTTGAGCTCGCACTTGTACTAAGGGTACAGATCCTTATTTCCATATTTAAAAAAAATCATGTGTCCCGGTAAAATTAAAATGAGCCTTAAGTCACTTTTATAGACCTATTTAATGTTAAGCTTTGGCATACAACTTACAAAATAAAACCAGCTTATACCTAATTAATGACAAATAGTTTTTTTGTATCTGTTATCTTTTTCTACAACTTTAATCAGATTAAAAGTTAAGTTGATGGGAACAGCGTGACTCCATTGAGCCATCTACTCATTTGAATAGGTACCCTTGGTGAGGTTAATTTTTAGACTATGTTGTGTCTTTTTAGCCTTTTTGAGTAAGTTCTTTTACACAAAATAGCAGCCAGATCATTTGGATGTCTTTCCATCCTCTCTTGGCATTGTTTGGTGGCACTTTGAATTTCTTCTATTACTAATTTCATCATCAGCTCCTTGTGCATTTTAGCATTGGTAACAAACCAGGATACACCATGTACTGATCTCAAGAGAGCATTCTGCATTCCCTAATGTTAATAATGGATTTGCAGGCACTATTCCATAGTTGTGCTTCATAAAGCCAATGCAGGTTCTTATATTTGATATTGAGTTCATTGAAATAAATAAAAAAAAAGTAATGGTTCATGGTAGGATAGTAATGCTCTATACAATAATAGATGGTAAATACAATACAATAGTAAAAAAAACTTTTTTAAAAACAAGATTTTATTTATATGCACTAAAAATAATAAAATAAAATTTTCTTTAAAACTTTTACTTAAACATCATTAAACAATTTATATAATATAAAAGCTTATCACGAGATTTACCTGTAGTAGATAAACCAAATTTTGATCAGATTGTTTTGTTTTAAATTTAAATATTGTAACTACCAGAAACTTCTGAAATCTGGCGACAAGCTTTTATATTATATAAATTGTGTAATGACATTATAAGTTCATTGTAAAAGTGTTGTATTCTTTTTAGTGCATTTAAATATTTTTTTATATATTTTTTTTACTTAACTTCAAAACCCTCAAATTCTCAGCTAGTCTTTTTATTTGAGACCCATATTGTAGGAAAGCATATATAAAACAGCCTACCATGTTTTTAAGTCCGCCATATTGGATTGAAGGTAACATCATTATATTTTTCGAGATATTCTTGGGTAACTCTTTCATTTGATACCCATATATATTGTAGGAAAAAGTGAAAAACTTAGTCCGCAAACTTTTTAAGTCCGCCATATTGGATTTAAGGTGACGTCATATTATTTTTCAAGTTATTCTTAGCAAGCCCTTTCATTTGATACCCATATTGTAGCAATGCAGCATAAATAACTAGTGCGCCATCTTGTATTTTGCGCCATATTGGATTTAGAATGACGTCACACGGCTCCCCATGCATTGGCATTCAAACTAAACGTGTGTACAAAATTTCAGTTCAATCGAATGAAGACATCTGTTTCAAAATTGAGTTGCAAGATTCCACCCAAACAAACAAAGCTTTTTTAATTAAAAGCTTTTATTGGGTGGTTGTTGTGTCGAGATACCCAAATGAGACTTAGTCAATGTCTCATGTATGTGCCCAAAATGACTTATCTGGGTTTATCTGTTGTTTAGTATTTTAATTAAGTACTAAGTGATAGTTAGACCCAAACATAGTTTAGTCTGAGGACAGCTTAAGTAGATATTTTAATTATTATTGCTAGGTACCTGCCCTTATAGTATGAGAACTGCGTAATTTTATCCCTTCGGCCGTCTACGATAATGTAGTTTCGTAACTGGTTTCGATGAAGGAATTATTTTATTACTCGTACGTAACATGAAACCTCGGCTACGTACAAAGAATTTTTCAAAGAGGCAGAAGTAATGGACGTGCGTAAAAGTGGGACTAAAGTCTAAAAATTACATAAAAATAGGTTCACGTCTATAAATGAATTAAAACAAAATAACTTTAGGTCACTGGCTAGAAATCGTATGCACGTATGCTATATATTTTTGGTTTCTTGAACTAATAACTTTGTATAATAAGGACTACGATTCGTAACGCGAGTCACATATTTTTATTCAGTCACAATTGCTGTTTTAGTTATTAAATATAAAACATAATTTAAAATATAAATTATTCTGTAATTTTGATGTTTTATTACAAGAGTTTTACTTGGTTACAATAAATTCTAATTTGACTTACATTAAATTCCTTGTTTAAAAGACATATAGGGTGTGTTCCGTAATATAAACCAGTATACTGGCCAGTGCTAATGACGTCAAGAATCGACGCCATGCCGTTGATTCGTTCCAAAATTTCCAAATACACTGATCAGCGCGGTGACGTCATGAACTGGTGCGATATTCAAGCAGTCTCGTGTTTGTGTGCAACGTTCATGCTCCAAAAATTATAATAAAGTGTGCTTGTTATTCCCTTCATCGATCAAAACAAATTTTTTTGTTTGTTGAGATTCCATTATTATCAATTTAATACAAAAAAGACCTTCACTAACTGCAGAGCGTATACATCCAGCTATTATACGTCACAGTATTCTCACCAGCATAATATGGCGGCACAACAGTGCAATATGGCGTCGAAACGTTGACGTCATTACCGCTGGCCAGCGTACTGCCTTAACTTTCGGAACGAACCCATAATTTCTCCATGTAAACAAGTTACATATAGGGTTTTTTTTTCTTGGAAACCTTCACAACGAATTCGTCGTATACAACCATGATACATCAAAGCGGTTTCGTATAAGGAAGAATAATTCCTGCATCGGAACTAGTTATGAACAAGAAAATATATTCCTCATCGAAACCAGTTTGGTTTCGTTGGGGAATTTTAAATTAGCTCGTTTTTATCACGCTCAGCTGTCAAATCGCTATAGACTTTGACAGTTGGATGCAACAAAAAACGTACACAATATAATGTGTATCGCGGTGCTCATCCTTCGGGGACTGAGGTCGAAAAGCTTTCTTATTTGGCGCTCTTTAAACGAGTATACCTAATCGCGGTCCCCTGACGCGGTGATGTTCGGGTTAAGTTTTAACAGGTATTGCGCGAGCACAAATAAAACAAAGTTTAAAACAATAAATAATACTATATTCACAAAAAAATATTTCCTTAAGCGCGGTCGCTACAAATATAAAATTATACTAAATCCACCGCGCAACAACTCCCGAATCCCGATCAGGAGTCGGTCCGGTGGCACGATTCACACGGGGAGGGGGAGACAGTGGCCGCTCGCGTGGATCTTGGCGCGGTTGTATGCGAGCACCCCGAGGCCGGCGAGCGCCATGCCGGCCAGGTTGAGGGGCGAGGCGGGGTTGCGCAGCACCAGCAGCGAGGCGCCCACCACGGCCGCGCGCTTGGCCGCCGACGCCACCGCGTATGCCAGCGGCGACACGCGCGACAACACGCTGAACGCCAGGACGGCCTGCCATCGAATGCTCGTTATTTTAATACAAGTCGGTGATTATAAACGATAGAATACCGCGAGCCTCCTCGCGTTCTAAATCTATATTTTACTAGCGGACCCGACGGACGTTGTCCCGTCCGGTATGGTAGCGCCGTCTGTCGGATCCGATGTGAAACGTTCCAAAATCAACGACTACTAATAAATTAAAAATTAATTAAAAAAACATTGTCCAGCGGACAAAATTGTGAATCTAAACCATTCTCAGATCCCCTTGATCGCACACAAAAAATTTCATCAAAATCGGTCCAGTCGTTTAAGAGAAGTTCGGTGACATACACACTCACAGAAGAATTATATATATAAAGATTTATATTATATTACACCTTCTTATGCTAATTATGCTGGAAATACGTTCATGCGGCGGGCTTGTAGGTCCTACGATGGTTTTTTAGGAGATGTTGATGTGTTTTTCCTATCTTTGAATATGTATAAAAAAATTGGTGGGCGAACATGTAATGCGATGAGCGAGGGGTCGGAGTATCGGTCTGTTGAGTCGGAGACCGGCACCTGTGTTGGTGATCGATACTGCAGATTGGAGGTTTGTCCCTTCGTTTATTGCATTATACCATTTGGTTCAAAGGTTGTACTGAATTTCTTTTCTAAATTATGGTGTTATTCCGCTTCTATTAAGTTCATTATTATATAAGTTAGGTCATATGTTATGGAACTGTTAGGTCGGTTTGTTACGATGAAATTGTTCATATGATATTATGTATGACTGTTTGTTCCTTATTAAATAAATAAAAAAAAAAGTCGCGGCACGAAACTCTAGCGCTGACCGTTATTGCGCAGAAGTTAAAATTAAGAAGTCTCGGGGGGAAACGAGGTGCGCGGGTGGGCGTGCGTTGCGTGGATCGACTAAAATCGTACGCATGCGCGGATATCCCCTCCGCGTTTTGTTCAGCGCTAGAGTTCGAGTGTTTGGACCTGTCCCACAGATTATTTTGTGTGTTAAAAAGGTTTCTATGTAAAAACAAGCTTATAGCCCGCCTGCGACGTCTCGACCCACTAGTAACTGACATGAAGGAATTAATGAATCGCCAAAGGATGACGCTCCCGGCGCGCTGCGATGAATTAAAGTCTACATCGCGCAAGGGAAACTCCGGGGCGAACACCTCATATATGCAATTATATGCAATGCTCAACCAATATCACTTGGGCCGCGGCCCGGCCCCCGAGTTAACATCGATCACCCAGCTCGGAGAAAGATTTTCCCCATTGGCGTTCCTGCAGCCTATACTCTTGCTATATCAAAAATATCACTCACACCGCTGCCTATGCTGACCCTATACCCCTACCCCGTGGAGCCTTGAAATCTAACTCACTACCACACCACAACACCACCGAAAGGTTATTTTATTGTGATCTTCTGTAAGGTGGCGACTTCCGCCCCAGACAGATTTCAAGCAATTCGAGCTGGAAATCCGCTATGCCCAACCTCTCTTACTTAATAGTTACTACGTAAATATTACTAAAACATGCAAGCGCATTTTAAACATTGATGAATTCAAGGGGAGATTGATAAGAGTAAAGAGTTCGATGACGCCAGTGGTTAGCGATATCCGTCTGCGATTGTGGAAGTTAAGCAACTTTCCATATGGCTGTTTATAGAACAGGTGGCCAAAAACATATTATCTCGAGCTCTTCCATGTTTCAAGCCGTTGGATTTTCTTCTGGCTACATCTGAAGTTGTTAGTACCCACTATTCCGCACTGGGTCCAAGATAAGTCACAATTTCCACATTCCATAGCGGTGGGAACATTAATGGGCTTATGATGAAAAGCGAACTATCGAGTTATCTATCAATTAATTCACTACTGTGAAATGGTTTTAATTTTATTTTACTGGATTTAAGACGCACGAGTGCAGTTCTGTTTATCGATGTATATGTGCATGTGAGTCGTGTACGTATATGGATGTGTGTGTCTCACCTGCAGCCAGGCTAGGGCTCCGTCAGCGGCCAGCAGGGCTCCGCCGGTCCGCCAGCCCTGCGCGGGGGCTGTGTGTGTGTGTGTGTGTCTCACCTGCAGCCAGGCTAGGGCTCCGTCAGCGGCCAGCAGGGCTCCGCCGGTCCGCCAGCCCTGCGCGGGGGCTGTGTGTGTGTGTGTGTGTGTCTCACCTGCAGCCAGGCTAGGGCTCCGTCAGCGGCCAGCAGGGCTCCGCCGGTCCGCCAGCCCTGCGCGGGGGCTGTGTGTGTGTGTGTGTGTGTCTCACCTGCAGCCAGGCTAGGGCTCCGTCAGCGGCCAGCAGGGCTCCGCCGGTCCGCCAGCCCTGCGCGGGGGCTGTGTGTGTGTGTGTGTGTGTGTCTCACCTGCAGCCAGGCTAGGGCTCCGTCAGCGGCCAGCAGGGCTCCGCCGGTCCGCCAGCCCTGCGCGGGGGCTGTGTGTGTGTGTGTGTGTGTCTCACCTGCAGCCAGGCTAGGGCTCCGTCAGCGGCCAGCAGGGCTCCGCCGGTCCGCCAGCCCTGCGCGGGGGCTGTGTGTGTGTGTGTGTGTGTCTCACCTGCAGCCAGGCTAGGGCTCCGTCAGCGGCCAGCAGGGCTCCGCCGGTCCGCCAGCCCTGCGCGGGGGCTGTGTGTGTGTGTGTGTGTGTCTCACCTGCAGCCAGGCTAGGGCTCCGTCAGCGGCCAGCAGGGCTCCGCCGGTCCGCCAGCCCTGCGCGGGGGCTGTGTGTGTGTGTGTGTGTGTCTCACCTGCAGCCAGGCTAGGGCTCCGTCAGCGGCCAGCAGGGCTCCGCCGGTCCGCCAGCCCTGCGCGGGGGCTGTGTGTGTGTGTGTGTGTGTCTCACCTGCAGCCAGGCTAGGGCTCCGTCAGCGGCCAGCAGGGCTCCGCCGGTCCGCCAGCCCTGCGCGGGGGCTGTGTGTGTGTGTGTGTGTGTCTCACCTGCAGCCAGGCTAGGGCTCCGTCAGCGGCCAGCAGGGCTCCGCCGGTCCGCCAGCCCTGCGCGGGGGCTGTGTGTGTGTGTGTGTGTGTCTCACCTGCAGCCAGGCTAGGGCTCCGTCAGCGGCCAGCAGGGCTCCGCCGGTCCGCCAGCCCTGCGCGGGGGCTGTGTGTGTGTGTGTGTGTGTCTCACCTGCAGCCAGGCTAGGGCTCCGTCAGCGGCCAGCAGGGCTCCGCCGGTCCGCCAGCCCTGCGCGGGGGCTGTGTGTGTGTGTGTGTGTGTCTCACCTGCAGCCAGGCTAGGGCTCCGTCAGCGGCCAGCAGGGCTCCGCCGGTCCGCCAGCCCTGCGCGGGGGCTGTGTGTGTGTGTGTGTGTGTCTCACCTGCAGCCAGGCTAGGGCTCCGTCAGCGGCCAGCAGGGCTCCGCCGGTCCGCCAGCCCTGCGCGGGGGCTGCGCCGGCCCAGAGCGCGGCTCCGTCGGCCCACGCCCACGCCGGTAGGAACAGCACCAGCGCCAGACGCCCCAACGCCTGATATCCACAATATATAATGTCGCTGTAGTGCAATTCAAACATTAGAGATGCGAGCGTTACGTAAAATTTGCAGTGTCGCTCGTACGCAGACCAATGTAGAAAACAATGAATCAGTGTGGAAAGCCACTATCGGTTTTAAAAATAAAGAGACTTAACTAATCTTCCCAATAAAATTCATGTGGATGGAAAAAAGTGATTTCACACTTGTCATCATCATCATCATCACCAGCCTAGTAATGTCCCCACTGCAGGGGCACAGATTGAGTCATGATATGACTCACCACGCGGATACAGTGCAGAATGGTGGGTGCTAACAACTGCAGATGCGGCCAGAACAAACAGCTTAACGTGCCTTCCGAAGCACGGAGGAGCTCAAGATTGTAAATTTTTAATCACCCATCCAATGTCCAACCACTGCGAAAGTTGCTTAACTTCAACGATTGCAGCAGAACGCGATAACCATTTGTTCAAACTTCTTCACACTTGTATGGATATTTATGACGTTCCTCGGAAAAAGGTACCTTATGGAGGTTAAGTCTAATTTTCGAGTTTTTGCACCATTTTCACAAAACATATTTAATGTTGGTGCAAAAATTCGTTTTATTTTTAATTGATTATTATAAAAATACATGATGTATCCTATAATCTCGTATTTTATTTATGTAAGCGAAAAGCTGAAAATGTGATCTCAAAGTTTTGTAGAAAAGGTAAAAAAATCTTGGACAGACTATTTTTAATTAATTAAAAAAAAAACAATTCTTATGTTGATGTTGTAATATTTAATTAAAAAAAATAGTTTGTCCACGATTTTTTAGGCAATCCATTTTTAATATGTAGCTACGTTTGAAAAAATATCATTAAAATTAAAAAATAACCATTTCTAGAAAACATTCAGGAAACATAATTAATAATCAAATCGTTATGTTTCTGATAAGTAAATAAATTTAAGCTTTATCATTCGAAACACGGAAGCCTAAGGAATAATTAATCGCTCTTCCAATGATAACACCATTTTTCGTGTTATTTAACTAAACAATACATTTTCCTGAAAGTATACAATTTCATTTATTATTCAAAATTTATTTATTTATTTAAAAAAAAATATACTTCCACAACTACATTTCTTACGAGGATAATTCTTTCGGATTCGAATAGCTCATCAGACCCAGATTATGGAGACACGAGGAACTCAATACCGACCATGAGGTACCTTTACCTGCGGAATGTCACATTTAATTACATCACTACATAAGTATGGGTAATAAAATATGCGTACGCATGTTAAAAGATCGATTTAAACTTTTATAACGAGCGGTCGGCAACGTCGGAACCGAGAGCGAACACGAACAGGGCATATGTAAGGAACCTGCAGCAGTCGCAGGTGGTGCACGCCGGTGTCACGCATGACGCGCTTGGAGTAGAGGTGCTGCAGGCTGAGCAGCGCGGCGGCGGCGAGCGCGGCGAACAGTCCGAGCGCGTCGAAGTGCAGCTCCGTGGCGCTCGCCACCCCCACGCCCGCCGCGATGGTCACCAGCGCCGCCTGCACCCCGCGCGTCTGGCGCTCGCCGAACAGGACGCGCGCCAGCCCCGCCGTCCACAGCGGCGTCGTCGCCTTCACTGCCGATCATACTCGCTTGAAGCCCGCGCCTCCGCCGAGCGCTTGTCACCGGCACCCTCTCCCAAATATTTTTACAGGTATAAAATATTCTTTTTTTATACAACTTCACTGTCCCCATACAATACAATTTCCGACTTCTCCACGTCCATGTTTTTTTTTCTTCGGTTTTGTTTCATGTTTTTATTTGTTCATAACAAAAGAAATAAAAACCTTTTGCGAAAGCAAATTTTTGTACATGAAAGTTTAGGGTTTTTGCTATACGTTCACGTAATTTTATAAGTCTATTGAGCTACGCTCATGACGAAAAATCTTGCCAAAAAGTATCGAAAAATGAGTCACCCCTGACTCCTGAACTTATTCCAAAAGTGTCTAATGAGTCACATGTGACTCATTGGACAGTGAAGTTGTTAAACGATTTATGCGTGTGAAAATATAAGGACCGAAATACCAGGTACAGCATATTTAACAAGAATACGGTGATCTATTATGACATCTCTTTTATAAACATCATTAATAAACTTAATCCATCTCCCTCGGTATGGGCGATTGGCGAAATTTCTGTGCACCTAATGAATCGACCATAGACCTTAAAAATTAAATTCGGTCAATCTTAGCCGTTTGATATAGAGTGAAAAATAATATTATTTTAAATCAAATATTAAAAAGGATAAAAAGAAGTCATACATATTCATTTTAACATATATAAAAAACACAGTAAAATTGCTAATATATTGAGCGTTTATTCTGTTCCACACCAATTTTGGTAATTAATTACCTTTAAGATTTATTAAATTAAACATAAACCTTATTAGTTCCTGATTATAGCAGATACAGTTTAGTGCTAAGAATTATCTTATCATGATTAATATTGAAAATTACCTGTGTGAGCATATGAAATCGGAACTTTCCATATGGAGACTTGAGAGCAGACCGTGGTGAGAAACTTGGCAAAGGCGAGAGGCACCAGTGTGCGCCAGTAGTAGCGACGCGGGAACTCCGTCTCGCGGCGCACCCGGCACGCTGCGAACGCTGGCGGACTGTACACGACGATGGATAGCAGCTGCACCATGGTCACAGTCATAGGATACGGGAAGTCTGTCAGCACCACCTTTCCGGCCACATTGCTGGCGGAACTGGTCGCGTACCAGGCCAAGCATAAACCCACGACCACTAGCGCTTCCCGCTGTGTCGAATCCCTGTTGATAGCTCCCATGGCGTCCGATACGTACAACACCTAAGCTCTAAAAGCACCAGGTCACTGATTGTTGAACATTCTGCTGGCACAGGCACCTGATACGTGTCAAATCTACATTTTCCATACAATATTGTAATACAAATAGGTTATCATATACACCATAATACAAGTTAGCTTTTAATAAATTTATGTAATTGAATAAGAGCACACCAATGAAGACATTTTTCTATTTCTGAAGTCTTTTTATTTATATCTCCATCACCTTTTTTCAAAGAGAATGTAAAAAATCCTTGAGAAAAAAACGACATATTTAGCTTGACAGTTCATGATTGACATTGACATTGACAGCACAGAGTAGATTTAGTCTTGTCAAAATATCGCTAAATAGATAGTTTTTTATTTATTTAATCTTTATTGCCTTTACAACGCAAATGGCGGACTTAATGCCAGTATGGCATTCTCTACCAGTCAACCGGAAAGAAGGTGCAGAGAAAATAAAACGGTTAAATTAAACATAAAAAAAAAATATATGTATAATTTAACCCGGCATATAGAAAAATCATAGATAAATTATATTATTGGTCTCGCTTCACTCGACTAAATAGCGCCGGTATACTTGTAAAATGCAGCAACAAATACTACACTCAAATCGGTGTACGCTGGCCTTTACCAAGCCAGTCACACTGACAGTTGTGTTATAATGGTGGTTTTCCAATTACAGAGCTTAATGCGACTCAGTGCCGCACAATGCCGAATTATGCTGATGCTTAATTGGAACGTGAATTAGTTTTCAAATGCACCAGCAATGTGCGCTAAGTTCAGTGTTGAAAAAAAAAGTCAATGTTTGTACCTTCATCCAAACTTATATTTATTTTTTTAACAGTTTGAATTAACTTTGATTGTTTAAAAAAAACTATTTAATGAAACGAAAGCTTTAATAATTTTTCAACAATAAATAATATTACTTACGATAACATATAAATAAAACATTTCGATCAATGCCAACTTAAAGAAAAAAAAATGGTTGCCTGTAAAGTCGGTTTTACGGGCGAAGATTTTACGTGACAACGTCTTTTTCTCGGTAGAATATTTATTGATATGAATATAATTAAATTGCACAATAGGAACAAGGAATTGAATGAAAATAAGAATTGCACAAATTTTAACTATAGAAATATATTTTGTTTACTAAAACATTGTACATGTAAACTTAAACTTAACACGAGAGACTCATCGTAACGTTACCGAGCGTTACACTTTTTCATAAGTGACTCCCAGCCGCAACCTAATTTAAGACGTTGTCACGTCAAAAACACTTGTTAATTTTCTGTCACTGGGTTGGTACGATTGCACGCATCACACGAAAGAATTACTTTTTAGAGTGCTGGATTGTGCGAAGCGTTGCTGTAGTTGGAACACTCAACGTTAAGCATTATGCCGCATAATGCGTTATAATGCTGTAATTGGAAAGCTACCAATGTGTACCTACCGAACATTATATTTAAATTAGGCTTTAATCAAAATAAAAATAGCTGTTGGCACAGTGAAATAATATTAATATAAATAAGGACACTGGGATCACATATTTTCTTGTTCAATTCATGTCATTGTCATAGATAAATGATTCGAACTCGACGTCGAGTGAAGCGAGACCAATCATTCATCCAAAGAGTAGTATTTAAACTTACTATGAAATTTGATTTGACTATTAAACTTAACATATTAATGAATGTTTATCTTTGAAACCTAAACTTAAGTCTTAAAAAGATATACTTAAGTACATAAAAATAGAAATATATACGCATTTAGATAAGTGAATCTTCTATAGGTATTTTATGGGTTACATTAATAACCTGCATAACATATTAATTATAACCACATATATTAATAACCTGTAGAACACAGCATGTAATATATTCCCTATTACTTCGGCAGCAGTTGAGCAGCTGGCTACACGATTTTTGACATACAATAGCATCCTTGCTGATCCATCCTAAATGTGACGACCACGACCACTCTGTCAAGTTTCCGGTTATAATAAGGTACTCTGTGCTGTCAAGAGTGTAGCGCTGAAGAAGAAGCATCCTTGCAAATTGACATACACACTCAACCATAGTGAGTTGCCGCATTGATGGAGTTATTTTTGACAGCGCGATATCTATAGCGAATTAGTCGAGCGAATCGAGAATTCGAGTCCAATTATTTATCTATGATAGACATTGATACAAAATAATTATTGTAATATCAAAATTCCTATCAAAAACTGTGGTACTGGTTGTGCGTCTGTTTAATTTCACGAAAAGTAAGCACTATACTGGTATCGATTCTGGCGTGATTCTCTAAACTTAAAACTAAATTTAACATCAGCCTCTCCTTGTCATTCTGCATAGTAAATGACAAGGATGCACTGTTGTCAAATTTAAGTTTAGGTTTAGAGAATCATGCCAGAATCGACATCACTATCGAAATAACAGATAATTTAATTTTTTTCTTTATTTGTGATATGGCGTGGTGTTGTTGTCACTGGGCTAAGCTGATCTAAATTATTTGAAACCGCTAATTTGGCAGAATGTTTCACGAATATATCAATGGATCAATATTTTTTTCGCGATATATCGAGGTAAATGTTGATAATTTAATTAATATCAATTTATTGATGTTTTTTTACTTGCGAGATCCCTAAGTAGAGCCACACGTTCTCAGACAGCAAAGCTTCTTCGACCTTCTTGCACAGACAGCTTTTGACAGCACAGATTGGAGACGATGGTAAATTAATCAAGTGGCAGCTGTGTAATGGCTGTGTATCTCAATGAACCATCGAAATTCTTGGTCCATGTTGTGAACAGCGGTGCCAATGCCATTCAATACCACCATTAGCACCTGAGTTTGGAACAACAGCATTTTTACAAAAAAATGCCCTGATATTGGTGTCGATGCTGGCATGATTCTCTAAACCTAAACTTAAATTTTACAACAACGTATCCTTGTCATTCTCTTTGCAGAATGAAAAGGAGAGACTGATGTTAAGTTTAGTTTTAAGTTTAGAGAATCATGCCAGAATCGACACCATTGTTGTCTTCATCTTGTCAATGATACCATTGGCATGATTAATTTAATTTCAGTTAAAGCTAAACCTTTTTACAATAGTCTCATGAGATGAGGATACACTGGTGTCGATTCTGGCTGGGTTCTCTAAACCTAAACTTAAATTTGACAACAATGGTGTCGATTCTGGCAGGGTTCTCTAAACTTAAAACTAAATTTGACATCAGTCTGTCCTTTTCAGTCTGTATAGAGAATGACAGAGATACACTGTTGTCAAATTTAAGTTTAGCTTTAGAGAAACACCATTGGTGTCGATTCTAGCATGATTCTCTAAACCTAAACTTAAATTTGACAGCAGTATATCCTTGTCATTCTCTATACAGAATGAAAAGGAGAGACTGATGTCAAATTTAGTTTTAAGTTTAGAGAATCACGCCAGAATTGGCACCATTGTGTCGTTGTCATTCTCTATACAGAATGAAAAGGAGAGACTGATTAATTAATTAGTTAAGGGACGATGGGCATTTCGGGCTATCCGGGCGAATGCACTGACCAATTATGCTACCGTGGCCCTGACGGCCATGTTGAAATCTTTCTAGCCTTTCTTAAGCTGCAAGGCAGCGCCATCTCTTCGCGTTGTATACCATTACAAGTATCAAACATTTGAAAGAAGAAATAGCAATCATAGTTATAATTTATAAGCATGTAAATGCTCGATGTATTTACGAAGGAATGTATATTTCATTCCATAGATATCATATCCAACCTAATTAAATCATAGTCATTAGAAACCCATATGATTAAAAATTAATTAAATCAAAATCGAACCCCAGCTGTATCAACGTGAATGTAACCGATAAAACGGGGGCTACAAAGTACAGGTTGTGGTATCGACCTGGCATGATTCTCTAAACTTAAAACTAAATTTAACATGGACTCTAATTTTCATTCTGGTTACAGAATGACAAGGATACAGTAGTGTCGATTCTAGCATGATTCTCTAAACCTAAACTTAAATTTGACAACAGTATATCCTTGTCATTCTCTATACAGAATGAAAAGGAGAGACTGATGTTAAATTTAGTTTTAAGTTTAGAGAATCACGCCAGAATTGGTACCACTGTTATCCAATTTAAATTTGGGGGGAGGCGAATTGGCTCCCTGGTAACACTGGCCAGTTATTTTCATCTTATTTTACAAAAAATTCAACCGACCAATAGAATTGAGACATTTGTATGAAATTTATCTATTATTTGTCAAAACCCTGGCGTGGTTTAATGCTATTGGTGTATTTATGATTATTGTAGGCTTTCGTAATGAAACTGCCAATGGTAAAATTATCAAGTGACGTATTATTTTGAAGCGTGGACGATCATTCCTTCAGTTTCATTTGGTTTCATTTCATACCGGCATTGTCTCAGTTAAATAGTGGAGTTTTATAAATTACTGAAGAGATATCATAACTAGCAATGAAATACTTTTTATTGCTGGGCATCGGCCTCCTGTTTCTCTCAGGTGAACACATTCTATTGGTTTATTCTAATGACTGGACTTATTTTCCAACTTTGATTATTTGCTTTAGAAAATAATATTCTGATATTAGTGTTTTTTTAGTAATAGATGTTTATAAATGTACCTACTTAATTATAGGATGTTAGTGGTAAAAACCTTCAATCTCATACTCATTAAAATGAAACAATGAGACTAGAACACGACTATAACTGTACCTTATAAACATTTGTGGCTGATTTTGGGGCTGTTACGTTCTTTGATAACGTGTTGTGATGTGTTTTCCATATCATGTGCAGGATGGGCGTACGGGCAGGAGGGTGTTGGTGTGGGCACCGCCGAGGAGGTGACTGTGGACGCTGATTTGGGGGCGTCTCGAGAAGGTTCACGAACCGGTATGTATTTGTATGATCTACAAGTGGAAGCAATATTAATAGCTAAATTCCTAACACTAGTCATACGTTCTGACAGATGTAATCATAATGTTTGACTACTAACGTGACTATGCTGTGAACTGTGCTGGAATATTTTATTTTCTTTATATTATTGCTTAAACTACACATGTTACCTAGTTAGACTAAAGAACTACTGAAGATTCAAACAGGAATGTTATTTAGAGAGAGAATTTAGAGAAATTAGTCCCTGTGTTGCTTGCTTCCCAAGGTAGCAAAAAATTATGTGGTGTGATATTTTAATACACATATCTTTATGAATATGAATATAGACATTAAATATAATTAGCATAGTTTCGTACCTTTCGTACACCTAACTAGTTTACCTGAGTGAACTCCAGAGACCTGTCCTGACCATTGATTCACCTCGGTGGACGAGAAGTCTGTCCCCGTAGCATGAGCACTACACTACTACAATTTACATTATATCATGTTTTTAACACGTCAAATATCATATAACATTGCTCATGCTAGGGGGGCTGGAGTCCATCCAGGTTGTTAGGTGTACCAAGTTTAAGAAACAGAGAGAGGCAGCTGACTCCAAATTTTTATGAGAGGTAAGGCTTCCTTGTAAATTTTTATACTAAAAACTTGAATTTATTTTATTTCTGTTTTTTGTTATCATTATTTTAGTATGTAATTACATCATTTCTTACTGGCAAGTGGCAGGTTTTTTTTTTATATATTTTTTGTTGTAAATTGTATTCATAGGTAACTAAAGTTACCTTTATGTCTTGTCCTTTGTTGTGTGCAATAAAGAATATAATATTATTAAAGCAGTAATAATCCTTTTCTTCATTGCTTATTATTTTATTTGGTATTTTGGGGGTATTTTATTTCAAGAAGAATCAATCATAAATTGGTATAATAAGATCACCATAATTTCACGAACATGTGTGACTGGACTGATTGACATTTACCATAGTGATTGAGTTGACGTTATAAGCTGCCATACACTAAAAATATTATGTAACTTATGACAGGGGCACCAGCATTCCTACAGAATTGATTTTTTTTTAAACTATTTAAAATGATTGGAGATAAATAAAAAAATTACAATATCTGTTCATGTTATAATATAAAACAAGCTTTCAAATGATATGTTTCGTCACTGTCGGAAACAGACTGCCATTTTTGAACCATCCTTATTTATGAGATGTGTGAGGTATAATATTTTATCTAGCGCTGTTTAACCTTGTCATCCGCAGCCAACACAAGCAAGCGCGTCTTGAGCCATGACGAATCTCTTATGTGATGATTTAGCCGACGATCAGAGAATGTAGTTGCCGCCATCTTTGAAGCATCCTTCCACCACCAGCCATATCTATACACATGTAAAATGTTTATTTAGTATACATAATACATACTGGTCGTTAACACTCCTGAGTGGACCGCGTGCTGCGTGCGAGTTGACAACGCACTATATTTTCTTCTTCATTAAGCGCTACAGCTATTAGAGCTGATTCACGCTTTGTAAAATTAAACTTGATAAAACGCGTATGAATGTAGGGACCGTCTCTTACATACTACTTAACTTTCACTGCCAACGCGGAGTCAACTATGCGGCGGGGATTCAGATGAATCAGAAATCGGAAGATTCTATTGCGCATGGCGCAGCCTAAGAGTCTGTCCAGATGAAGCGTTTTAAGCGTTCGAGTGGACTCTCGCGTTTCAATTTCTATTTCGTCCAGATACCGCGTTTTACGCGCGTATCTACGTTGGGAGGGATCCAGCCAGTTACAAACATGGACTCGTCTTATGATTCTATTGGAATAATAATCTGATGATTCCTTATACCATATGGCTATTCTTTTTTCAACTTCGTCAATAAAAACTTCCGTATCGAAGTTATCGCGCTCCATTTTAAATCGAATAAGTCCACTCGCAACGGACTCGCGCGTAGTTTTGGCACGCAGCAATGGCGCCCCAAGTATCTCGATTCGCGCGCTCGCAGTCGAGAGTCTCGCTCGTTGCACGCGTTTTACGCGCGAGTGAGGATACGCGCGTAGGCATCCGGACGGGATATATGTAGCTCTAGTATCTCGGGACCGCACGAGTGTCAACGCGTCATTTGGACAGGCTCTAATCGTCAGTGTTGTTATGACGTGCGCGCGACGACGTACTCGTGCGCGGAGGTGCGCGGCGCGACGTACTTGTCCCGCGGGCCGCGCGTGAACACGCCCCGCACGCGGTGCTCCGCGCTCAGCTCCGCCGCCGACGCTTGTCTACGCTCCACCCTCTGCGGCGCGTCCGCTATTGAAGCCGCTGTAATACGGAAAACGTTGCGTTTCATAACTGTACCCTTAGTATGAGTTTGAGATCACGAAAACTATCATAGTTTTAGTAATTGTAAATTATGTTTCTATGTCCATTTTGATGAAAAGTAACCAAATATACTTAAAATTTAATAAGAAACAAATGATTTTATGATAGAATTTAAACACTGTTTGTTTGTATTGAAACGAAAACAATAAAATCAGTACTCCTAATACGGTGCGAGCTCACGAAAACTATCATAGTTTTCGTAATTGTAAAACTCGTACTAAGGGTACTGGGTCCTTCATATACACATGGTGATATAAGAAGAATCCTCACCGTTATCGATATTGCAGTCAATACCTTAAGCGAGGTCACGGGGGTAAAATCGCGCCAGTGATATTGCCCATCTCTGAACTACCGACCGCCTCTCGGGACTCGTTACCCAGTGTGGTGTTATTACTCAAATGACATTTGAGTAATTTGATGTTTAGAGACAACTATGACTATGAAATTCTAGTCGAAATTCGTTTTATGTTTTATATTAAGGGGATGATATAGTATATCGTTAGACAAATAAACGTTTGAATTAGATTTGCTTAAAACACTACTCTCCGTAGTCAGGTAAAATTCGGAATATTGGGGCGCCTAGTTTGAGGGTCGGAGGTGGTGGTCGACTCACGCAAGCCGAGCGGTTTGACGGCGGATAGGTTGGAGCGGCCGGGCTCCCGCTGCGCCGCGAACCGCAGCTTGAACGAGCGGAAGTGCAGCGGGTCGGAGGTGGTAGTAGACTCACGCAAGCCGAGCGGTTTGACGGCGGATAGGTTGGAGCGGCCGGGCTCCCGCTGCGCCGCGAACCGCAGCTTGAACGAGCGGAAGTGCAGCGGGTCGGAGGTGGTAGTAGACTCACGCAAGCCGAGCGGTTTGACGGCGGATAGGTTGGAGCGGCCGGGCTCCCGCTGCGCCGCGAACCGCAGCTTGAACGAGCGGAAGTGCAGCGGGTCGGAGGTGGTGGTAGACTCACGCAAGCCGAGCGGTTTGACGGCGGATAGGTTGGAGCGGCCGGGCTCCCGCTGCGCCGCGAACCGCAGCTTGAACGAGCGGAAGTGCAGCGGGTCGGAGGTGGTAGTAGACTCACGCAAGCCGAGCGGTTTGACGGCGGATAGGTTGGAGCGGCCGGGCTCCCGCTGCGCCGCGAACCGCAGCTTGAACGAGCGGAAGTGCAGCGGGTCGGAGGTGGTAGTAGACTCACGCAAGCCGAGCGGTTTGACGGCGGATAGGTTGGAGCGGCCGGGCTCCCGCTGCGCCGCGAACCGCAGCTTGAACGAGCGGAAGTGCAGCGGCCGACCCCCGCCCTCGCCGGCGCCGGCGGGAACTGACGCGGGCGCGGCCGGCGTTGGCCCGCTCTCGTCGCCCTGCTGCGAGTGCTCCGACATAATATGATCCTCCGCTCGTCTTTTATTATAGATTCTTCGTATTCAGATGGGGAGGAATCTAGATGCGAGACCTTTTCCTCTATTCCCTGAAAGACAACATAATTATTTTAGTCGGTTGCCTCCCGCCGCCGGTCCGCGTCTACGTTTGTTGTTAAATCGATATCACCTGGCGAAAACTTCCCTCGCTTTGATTTCAATGCGATTATCGACGTATAGTATTTCGAAATTTTGGCAGGTCTGATTTTAATTAGAAATAAGCTGAAATACGACAAACGCGAAAAAATAAATATTAATTCGGATTTAATTCAATTTTAAAGTGAAGCAAGTTGAAGTAATAAGGATTTAGGGTGCCAAGAAATATTTAATGTAATAAGTTTATTATAGAGAGACATGTTACCGACAGAATGACACTAGAAACCGATTTATGTTAGCCTTGCCACACCACCAGTCCACTGGTGTATTTAAACACTGCACTAGTATTGTTATATATGTTGTATGGTTGTCGTAGATGCGGAGGCGGTGCTGCGCGAGGAGGAGGCGATCTCGCCGGACGGGCTGAGCGTGGCGCAGATGCGCGAGCTGCGCGACAAGGCGCAGAACTTCACCTTCCAGACCGAGGTCAACCGCATGATGAAGCTCATCATCAACTCGCTCTATAGGAACAAAGAGGTACTGTCTCTAAATACTCTGTACTTTAAAACGGGATTGTTTTATGAGGAGTTCAATAGTGCAGTGATAAGAACGTTTGTAATGCGAATTTAAAGATGCGCTTGTCCTAAACGCCAGATAGTTTAAAACATATCATTACCTTCTTTATATCTAGAAAGAAAAACAAGTTTAGTACAGGGTTCCGACTGCCGATTTTATTAATACAACCGTTAACATATTTCATTGTGGGGTACGCAAGAGGCGGACACGCGGGGAGGGTTGTTTACGACTCGCTCTCAATGTATTTCATTCTTATTGGTCGGTGATGATAACGATGTGAAACAAACGCATCATCTTTGTCGTTAAGTTCTCAGATCAATTCCGAAATACAAACGGTAAGGGTTAAAACATTGTATAGTGGCACTCGGCTTGCAGATATTCTTGCGCGAATTGATCTCGAACGCATCGGACGCGCTGGACAAGATCCGTCTGTTATCGCTGACGGACCGCAACGTGCTGGACGCCAACCCGGACCTCAGCATCCGGATCAAGGCGGACCCGGAGCGGCGCCTGCTGCACATCATCGACTCCGGCGTCGGCATGACCCGCGCCGACCTCGTCAACAACCTCGGCACCATCGCCAAGTCCGGCACCGCAGACTTCCTCTCCAAGATGCAGGACACTGAGAAGGTAACTTGAGATCGCTTCATCGATAACATGCATAAAAAATTGTGTGTGTCAGCTCCGACGCACGACCGGAGTTTACACTCTGAAAACGATCGTCTTTGAACAGACACGAAACAAAATCAAGTCCGAAGAAGTCGGTTACAAGTAGAGATACCTCAGGAATCGTCCCATGGTTTCGACTATCATAGGTTCCATGTCACACATTTTATCATCTAACATCAGCGATATTCATCATATATTTTACTAGTGGCCCGCCCTCGCTTCGCTTCGGTGTAGAGCTGTAGTGTTTGTTCTCAGGCTTGTATTATACACAACTAGCAAACCCGGCGGACTTCGTTTCGCCACCAGATGGCTTCGTTTTATGTAACATTTCGTTTGGTGATTAAAAGAAGTTTTTTTTTAATTTTTCCTGAATTTTCTTTGCTATAAACCTCACGGAGCCCGAGACCTTTCCAACGAATGCAAAACCGTGGAAATCGGTTCGTGCGTTCTGGAGTTATAGCGTCAGGAAGGAAAACCCGACTTATTTTTATATAGTAGATGACATTCTTCTAATACCTAATTACAATAGGCACGCGCCGCCGAGCTCCCTGCCCGGGAGCGTCGAAACCGTTATGTCCTTGCATTTTAAATCTGTAATATCTTCGAAAATATTAATTTAAATTACATGCGTTAAAGGGCCAAATTGGTCTATATTAAATGCACAATGTATTAAAGGTACTTAATTGGATAAGTATGAATGTTTTAATGCTGAAAATCGCTTCGTAAATAATCTATCATTTCTCGTAAAAAGTATAGGATAAAAAATGGTTATTGTGGGTTATCCCTAAGAGATAGACATATACCATCGCGGACTTTTTTGTAGATCTTTTTAAGGTGTACAATACTGTAGTACATTATTTTGATAAAACTCGTAGGGTTCAGCCTGCGTTTGCAATGTAAGCGGAAAAAATGTAATTATTTACGACATCACATTAGAAACCTCAAAAATAACAGTACTTCTCCACTATTTAATGGATGTTATTATTATACATATAAAACTTCCTCATGAATCACTCTATCTATTAAAAAAAACCGCATCAAAATCCGTTGCGTAGTTTCAAAGATTTAAGCATACAAAGGGACATAGGGACAGAGAAAGCGACTTTGTTTTATACTATGTAGTGATTATGTATTTCTGGAAACGCACAATTTCAAAAATATCACACACTAGTCATCATTTTGTAAATATGTATTATAATTCCATCTGTACTGAAAATCACTGTTCCAGAGTGCTGGACACTTACCGGCATTTCTCTATATTCTGTTATTTATTTGTTTTCATTAATTTTGCTCCGATTTTATCTATTTCTAGTTTATTTATTTTATTGACATTTGTGACAACGTAATGTTTTTTATCCGTTGCCATGGCTAAAAGTGAAAGGTGCGCAGATGAGGTTGCGCACAAAAACGTAACGAGGTCATTTGTTCAGTAGATTGTACTCCTCACATTTTTCTCATACCGGGCTCCTTATAAATGCAAATCGATTCTTAAGGAGTAAACTACAATAAAAATATATAAGCGTTGATACAAATACACTTTCATGATTCATATCGCTTGTAGGATTTGCAGTTTGATTGTTTGTGTGCCAACAGTAATATCAGGCCCCCGCTTTTTAAAGCATTAAAGCGGTCAACAATTTAATTATTTATTTTATCAGCACGAAAAACGTGTCCGATAGAAGTTTGTACTGATGTGTGCACATTTATAAAGTCGCTAATGTTGGGTCAAGTTGCTCCAATCAAAATAAAGTACGAGACAAGCAATGGGCCCACTCGCTTGCCGTTCAATAACCGAAATGCGAAGTATCAATATTTGGTATTAACAAGTGTGGTATGGTGTGGCAGTCTGACAACCAGGAAATGAACGACATGATCGGCCAGTTCGGCGTGGGCTTCTACTCCGCATTCCTGGTGGCCGACAAGGTGACGGTGGTGTCGAAGCACAACGACGACGCGCAGCAAGTGTGGGAGTCCGACGCCAACTCGTTCAGCGTCGCCGAGGACCCGCGCGGGCCAACACTCAAGCGGGGCACGCATATCACGTCAGTATATATCTCTTATCTATTAGACAAGTCCGTCCGTCCGTCTGTCTGTGGTGCTGTTTCAGCGGCCAAACCGTAAGAGATAGATAAAGAGAATGTTTAAGTTATAAGTTAAGAATAGTCTGATAAGACTACAAACCGGATTTGAGTAATGTAGCACTTCCGGTTTTCGAGAAATCACGAATTTCAAACGAAACCACACAAAATCTCCGAAGTTCTCAATTAATTAAATACATTTTTTTTTAAATCAGGTTTTGGTGAACATTTGGTTCACTGGTTTGCTAGTTTATCTTATTTTGGTTACATGGAACACTGACAGCTTGTCTTAATAAACTAGAAATGAACAGTACCCTTAGTACGAGTTTTGAGCTCGCACCATATTAAGAGTGCTGATTTTATTGTTTTCGTTTCAATACAAATAAACAGTGTTTATATTCCATCATTAAATCATTTGTTTCTTATTAAATTTTAAGTATATTTGGTTACTTTTCACCAAAATGGAATTACGAAAACTATGATAGCTTTCGTGAGCTCAAATTCGTACTAAAGGTACAGTAGCCCCAGAGAGCCGATTACCGGTTCTCACTTCTAGAAATAACTTCAAAGTTAAAAACAAACTGTTTGCACTGTCCGATCTAAAAATACTGTTAAATATAATTTTATAAATATGGTCTTTATAATGAATATCAGAACAACAATTACGCACTTATTAATTTATTATCGCCATTGAACAAACGAGCAATAATACGCCTAATCGACGCCTCGCTAATGTTAAAAAGATCTAAATTTACCTGTTTTGATAGTGAACTGAAGTTGGCAATTTAAATCGTTTAGATTCAAACAAATTCGCTTATTCTTAAAGTTGAACACTTTCTGAACTTAATAACTAAAGCTAATAACAAAGTGACTTCAGATTTTTTTTTTCTTGATTACAAATTACACAATGGTCCCCTAGATGGTTATTTAATTTTCATAATGTCTACATTGATCTATGTCTATATCGCTGGTTAGTTAGAAGTAGCAGATAACTCATTGGATAATCTCAAATCATTAAAAAAAAAAACTCTTATAGAATAACTTTATTGTACATCTGTTTGTTGAGATATATATTAATCAGAAACACAAAGAAATATAAACTCCAACTTTGACGCGCTTTATCTTTGTAATTTTTTGGTAGATTGACCAAAGAAAAAATATGTATTCGTTATTGTTTGATAATCTAACTGACTGATTAATTACAATTTCGTTTACTTTACCTCGTCTTTGAGGAAAATAAATTTATTATTATTATTTATGTATTCGAAACTATAGAATATGATGCCTGAGCACCAATTTTTGAACAGCTCTGTACCGTATCGTCGTCGTTAATTTTTGTATGGAAAATGCTTGTTTGTTCTTACGTCTGATGTAGTTTTTTTTTATAAAAACTGCCATACGTTACGGAGCTTTCTTTGACTTCTTGAGCTATAATCCAATTTGTACGATGTTATTGACAGATTGCACCTGAAGGAAGAGGCAGCGGATTACCTGCAATCGGACACGATCCGCTCGCTGGTCAAAAAGTACTCGCAGTTCATCAACTTCCCCATCCACCTGTGGGCCTCCTCCACGCGCTCCGTAGAGGAAGCGGACGACGACGATGCGGATGCTGATGCTGCCGACGCTGATGACGATGCTAAGGTATTGACGACCACTTCTTTACCACTGGGGAACGATAGTTAAAATATAAAAAAATACGCACCCTTCACTTTCCGGGAGAATGCACTGACCATTATGGTACTGCGACCCTGACGGCCGTGTCAAATTTTCCTTAGCCTTTCTTAAGCTTCAGGGCAGCGCCATCTCTTCGCATCGTAGGTAACCCACAGTGTCAAATGAAAACCTGTATAAGTATTAAACATTTGAAAAAAGAAATAGCAATTATAGTAATTTTTATTATTTATGCATTTATCAAAATTTCTTATTTCATAATGTAGCTCTCTCGAATCGTCCATTATTTTCCCCTACCACCCGAAGCGATGCTGCCTGCTGCCTGGTCCGCGTGGATATTTTTTTACTATAATTTTCTTTAGATTTAAACATCGAGCATTTAAATGCATAATAAATAAAAATAATTTTCCGTAGGTGGAAGACGCAGCGGAGGAGAAACCCGAAAAGAAGAAGACCGAGAAGACCGTGTGGGACTGGGAGTTGATGAACGACAACAAGCCCATCTGGACGCGCAAGCCCAGCGAGGTGTCCGACGACGAGTACACGCAGTTCTACCGATCGCTCACCAAGGACGAGGCGCCGCCGCTCGCCAAGTAACCTACCCTGCCACTCATTATAACTCCACTTGCATTTTTAAGGTGTCCTCATGCCAAGCTTGTAACATGTCTTTTAGCTCATTACATGCTTTGTTGAGTTTAGCCTTGTCCTTTCCGATTCGATTTTTATGTCACACTCTCCGCAGTCTACGCTTTTCAAGTATTGCTAGTTTTATCTGTAGTGGATAGTTTGTGACTTTTTCGGTGCTGCTAGTTGAGGGAGTATTGACTCAACATGCTTGCTGTAATAGGGCTGATGACTAATTTTTTTTTCTTCATTTATCAGGTAGATTATCAAAAAGTATTGGACGCGTATTTTTTCTTTTTTCACATAATATAAACATTGCAGAGATATATTGATTTGAAAAGTCGCATGACGTCACGTTCGAGTACACTTATAAGTAAAAATTTACTCAAAAGTGACGTCACGAGCCCTTACTCCCAAACTTTGATGCGCTATAACTTTGTCATTTTTTGGTTGATTTCCCAAAGAAAAAATACGTGTCCATTATTTTTTGATCATCTAACTGACGGACTAAATAGAATTTCGTTTATCGTACCCCGTCATTACCCCTATTAAGAGGTCATGTGTTTAGTAGCATTATCTAAATCGTCAGAGAATTTAAGAGCCATTTTCATTTGTATGTGTTCTTCAACGTTTTATTTAAACGAAATCCAATCAGTATATTTATTTTATAGTATTTCCGTTTTGTTTTTATGAACTTCTTAAATATTAGTAAAAAGCGTCAGATAGTTTTCTAAAACTCGTGAAATACCTTATTCATCATCCTATTAAGAGAAGGCTGATGACGATCAATGATTAATAGGCTGATAACAATGCGAGCCGATAGCGACACTTTTGTCGAAATGCGTTTTTGTGGAAACTAATATTTTAAACCGTAACGGACCCATCTCTGTCGATATTTCCCTCCAAAAGAACACCGTTATAATATAATAGAGGGAAGAATAGAGGGAAACATCAACAGAGATGGGTCCGTTAAGGTTTAAAATATTAGTTTCCACAAAAAACGCATTTCGACAAAAGTGTCGCTAACGGCTCGCATTGTTATCAGCCTATTAATCATTGATCGTCATCAGCCTTTTCTTAATAGGATGATGAATAAGGTATTTCACGAGTTTTAGAAAACTATCTGACGCTTTTTACTAATATTTAAGAAGTTCATAAAAACAAAACGGAAATACTATAAAATAAATATACTGATTGGATTTCGTTTAAATAAAACGTTGAACGATTACGTAACGTTACGATAATTTGGCGAGTGTCGCTTACGATAATTTGGCGGTAAGGGCTCGCATGAATCGACTACATGAGTTCCTTCCAAACCAGGTCCCACTTCGTAGCCGAGGGGGAGGTGACATTCCGCGCGCTGCTATTCGTGCCGCGCGTGCAGCCCGCGGACTCGTTCAACCGGTACGGAACCAAGACGGACCGCATCAAGCTGTACGTGCGCCGCGTGTTCATCACCGACGAGTTCAACGACCTCATGCCCGCCTACCTCGCCTTCATGCAGGTACGAGTACGTTCCACCGGTACGGATACGGATACGGATACGGATACGGAACCAAGACCGACCGCATCAAGCTGTACGTGCGCCGCGTGTTCATCACCGACGAGTTCAACGACCTCATGCCCGCCTACCTCGCCTTCATGCAGGTACGAGTACGTTCCACCGGTACGGATACGGATACGGATACGGATACGGAACCAAGACCGACCGCATCAAGCTGTACGTGCGCCGCGTGTTCATCACCGACGAGTTCAACGACCTCATGCCCGCCTACCTCGCCTTCATGCAGGTACGAGTACGTTCCACCGGTACGGATACGGATACGGATACGGATACGGAACCAAGACCGACCGCATCAAGCTGTACGTGCGCCGCGTGTTCATCACCGACGAGTTCAACGACCTCATGCCCGCCTACCTCGCCTTCATGCAGGTACGAGTACGTTCCACCGGTACGGATACGGATACGGATACGGATACGGAACCAAGACCGACCGCATCAAGCTGTACGTGCGCCGCGTGTTCATCACCGACGAGTTCAACGACCTCATGCCCGCCTACCTCGCCTTCATGCAGGTACGAGTACGTTCCACCGGTACGGATACGGATACGGATACGGATACGGAACCAAGACCGACCGCATCAAGCTGTACGTGCGCCGCGTGTTCATCACCGACGAGTTCAACGACCTCATGCCCGCCTACCTCGCCTTCATGCAGGTACGAGTACGTTCCACCGGTACGGATACGGATACGGATACGGATACGGAACCAAGACCGACCGCATCAAGCTGTACGTGCGCCGCGTGTTCATCACCGACGAGTTCAACGACCTCATGCCCGCCTACCTCGCCTTCATGCAGGTACGAGTACGTTCCACCGGTACGGATACGGATACGGATACGGATACGGAACCAAGACCGACCGCATCAAGCTGTACGTGCGCCGCGTGTTCATCACCGACGAGTTCAACGACCTCATGCCCGCCTACCTCGCCTTCATGCAGGTACGAGTACGTTCCACCGGTACGGATACGGATACGGATACGGATACGGAACCAAGACCGACCGCATCAAGCTGTACGTGCGCCGCGTGTTCATCACCGACGAGTTCAACGACCTCATGCCCGCCTACCTCGCCTTCATGCAGGTACGAGTACGTTCCACCGGTACGGATACGGATACGGATACGGATACGGAACCAAGACCGACCGCATCAAGCTGTACGTGCGCCGCGTGTTCATCACCGACGAGTTCAACGACCTCATGCCCGCCTACCTCGCCTTCATGCAGGTACGAGTACGTTCCACCGGTACGGATACGGATACGGATACGGATACGGAACCAAGACCGACCGCATCAAGCTGTACGTGCGCCGCGTGTTCATCACCGACGAGTTCAACGACCTCATGCCCGCCTACCTCGCCTTCATGCAGGTACGAGTACGTTCCACCGGTACGGATACGGATACGGATACGGATACGGAACCAAGACCGACCGCATCAAGCTGTACGTGCGCCGCGTGTTCATCACCGACGAGTTCAACGACCTCATGCCCGCCTACCTCGCCTTCATGCAGGTACGAGTACGTTCCACCGGTACGGATACGGATACGGATACGGATACGGAACCAAGACCGACCGCATCAAGCTGTACGTGCGCCGCGTGTTCATCACCGACGAGTTCAACGACCTCATGCCCGCCTACCTCGCCTTCATGCAGGTACGAGTACGTTCCACCGGTACGGATACGGATACGGATACGGATACGGATACGGAACCAAGACCGACCGCATCAAGCTGTACGTGCGCCGCGTGTTCATCACCGACGAGTTCAACGACCTCATGCCCGCCTACCTCGCCTTCATGCAGGTACGAGTACGTTCCACCGGTACGGATACGGATACGGATACGGATACGGAACCAAGACCGACCGCATCAAGCTGTACGTGCGCCGCGTGTTCATCACCGACTAGACCCTTTTTCTAACGAATAAATTAAAAAAATCCGTATGCGTCTCGGGACGCACAACAGAAGTGACAACTTAAGCTATCCCTTTTTGAGCACAGGAGATTAGTAGGTGAAAGGGGGACTGGAGACTAAAATTATATTTATAGTAAATATTCTCTTTTCTATTTTCATGTTATTTATTATTATACGCAGACGGTGACACACATATACTGTATTTTTAAGATAATATAAATTTTATATCCATTTGACAGTGCAATCAATTATATGATATGATAATGTTTTCTCAAATTTTTTGCAATTAACATGATAAATATTTACCAAAGCAGCAGCTGTAAAAACGCCAAAGTAACAGATTTGCCGCGTAAAACATTGAACACGCTGCGGCCTTGTAGATTTAATTTATCGCTCACAGTATGTGGGTTTTTGAATTGACTTCCGTTTCGTTATCTTTATATAACATATAATCTATTATCAACCGAACTAATATCACTACATTAATCTTGCATTAAAATATTTTGTGCTAAAGATAAAGTATACCTACCTTTTTTTCATGAATGTATTTTGTAATGCTGTTTCAAAAAAACACTTTTTTGTCTAATAAAGTAAAATGGGTGGGACTACCCTTATCACTTAGGAATATCAACACGTATACTAAATACTTGCTAAGAATCGGTTAATACTTTTTTTGGAGGAGTTTTGTTACAAACACTGTGACACGAGAATTTTATATATGTATTACATTTTCAAACTGAGATAGGTTCCTAACAGCTTGTGAGACTTGTTGCATGTGTCTGTTATGAAGGCCTTCGTGAACGAATTGTCTATACGCTGGGTTTCAAGGTGTGGCCTACCCGCGAGGTTCGAATCCCCGTGGGCCAAATGTTAATATGATGAGTATGAACATTTATGCCTTAGTCATAGATATAATTATGTTTCTGGATAAAATACTCTTATATATGTTATATAGTATATGTATTCTATCCAATATATTAGCATCCCATAACACAAGCATTTTAGTGCTTACTTTGGGACTCGGCTAATTGCTGGCATCTGTATTTAATGTTAGATTAGCAGCGATTTTACTATCGTGAGAGAACAAATTACTAATAACTTTTTTAAAAAATCATTAAATGAAAATGTTTTTTTGTTTTACGGTCACGTGACCAAAAACTCCTGGGATTGGCGAACACTAAAATGACGTCGCACTTTAGTAAACTTCGGTTAAAAGTGACATTACATTGTATCGTTTGACGTTTAAATGGCAATCATGCGACGTCACATGCTAGGAAGGCACCATAATGTCCAGAGTTTTGAGTGTTGGAAATATTTGATTATTGAAGTTATACTTCTTTAGGCGCGTTATGAATAAATGATGAGAGTGAAATTTTAAGATGCGCGCGCATCACTGTAACACAAAAAATTAACAGCATGCTGTTACTTTTGTGTTTACCGCTCATTAAGAAAATCTACCAAATAAATAGAAATAGAATCTCTATTTTGTGGGTGCTAACGACTGCATTGTGAAGGCCTATCAAAAGTATTTATTAATCTGGAACAACGGAACCAAAGCGCGATTCAGGAGACTACAGCGCCATCTCTTGACCATTGGTGTAGTAGAACCAAAAACCACATCTTTATTTTTTGTAATAAAGTAACAGTTATAGGTATTCATATTTATAATATTTATCCACATGTTTCTAGTTTGTATATTCGGAATACGTGTTTGAGTTTCATACAAGTGCAAATCACATATGTTCTAATAAATTATATTCAGTAGCGATTTTAATTGAATATTTTGATTATTTATTTATTTTTCAAATTAAAACTGAACTTTATTGACTATGTCCTTTTCCAGACTTTTTATTAATTTATTGTTATTAATTATTTGCATGCAATTAAAAACTAATTTTAAACGATGCCAAAGAAGGATAACTTCTCACGCGCCTACATAAGTACACGCACCCATTTTTTTTATTATTTATAATATTTTAAGTAAATAGTCGTATTGGTACAGGGCATCGTGGACAGCGACGACCTGCCGTTGAACGTGTCGCGCGAGACCCTGCAGCAGCACAAGCTCATCAAGATCATCAAGAAGAAGCTCGTGAGGAAGGCGCTCGACATGCTCAAGAAGATCCCCGACGACGAGTACCAGCACTTCTGGAAGGAGTACTCCACTAAGTCAGTATCCCGAACCATATTCATTATTCATTCATTGCAATAAAACGAAATTAGACGGTACATTTTAAAGCAATAAGTTCAACACGAAACTGTAATTATAATAATAATAATATATATTGACATGGCTATCATTGTGCCGATAGTTGTGACGGTCAATGGCCTGATAGCTAAGAGCTTCGACTGTCATCTGCGGAGGCTCGAGTTGAGTGCTGGGTCAAGGGCCTGATACAGAAGGCAGTGCTCCTTGACACGGCTCGCATAGTGACCTCCTCACTACCGGTAGCTAGGACCCTGTTCCCGATGCCGGTTGGCTTCTAGTTTTTATATTTTTAAATGTTTTTATTTTTATATCTTTATTTAAAAATATAATTAGTATTGTATTAAATAAATAAAGAGAATAATAATAAAAATGATTATTTGGCACAAATTACGAAAATAACTTATTGTGTTAAATATAAGTGATTTTGTACCAAACAGGATACTGATATATTATGTCGAGGCAACATGTGCCAAGACACTGACTTAATTGACGTGCGTATCGCTCAGCGTTACATTGAACACTAAGTGACGGAAAACGACTTAGAGTCCCGCGTTTGGCTCATATTTTTTTCTACATCACCTGCGCTGCCACGCTCTATCTAGGAGTACATGATCAGAGGTGTCGAGTTATTTATTTAAAGAATTAATACCGAGACAGTAATAGGGATGAACTGTGAATGAGCTGTCGCTGTTTAGACGTTTGACTTGTCGTTCATTGCCGTTCAATGATGACAGATTATGATCGATGATAGTGGAAACAATCGGGAGACCTGACGTCCATCGGAATGTAGTGTGAATTTAGACATTTAATTTTCGGTTTTTCATTGATAAAGCATTGAAAATGACAGCAAAAATGAACTGTATAATTTCAGCTTTGTCATGTTCAGTTTTCTTGTTATTTTTGCTAGACCTTTTCCCATTTACCTGTATTTACCTAAGTATTTACAATTAATGAGAAAGAATTCGTATTGCCCATGTCAAGGTTTCTGTGAAAAAAGCTAGTTTGTTCTTTTACCATAAAAACTTTGATGTAGACGATACGAATCTATCAAAGTTCGTGCTTAGTACTGCAGTCGACCTTCCCTCTCCGATTCTTAGAATTTGCATGATGGAATGCAATGTATCATTATAGTTGTATCAAATCTTTCTATACTACTGTCGTAGGTCAAATGATAAGTGATCTTCTATGAGCATGCAACATTGAACTGTCATTGTCATCAGCCTGCTAATACTCGGGTGCATTACCCACTCCACTGGGGTAGTTATATTAATAGTATTTTATTATTATTTTTTTTGTTTAGGAGCTTTTGTCCAATGACATGGCAGCTTCATTGAAACAAAGTAATAAGTACCTACTTAATTAAAAATTAGAAAGATTATATTAAAAGTATTTGCGTAATTTACTGGTTGTGGTGTCGTTTCTGGCAGGGTTCTCCAAACCAAAACTTAAATTTGGCAACAGTGTATCCTTGTCATTCTCTATACATAATGGGACGGAGAGACTGATGTTAAATTTACCTATAACTTAGAGAACCATGCCAGAATCGAGATATCAGTATTCCATAAAATTACACAAGTACAATGCGACTTCAGATATGGGGTTGCTCCTTGTTTATTTTAAACTTAGTTATAAATATATGTATTCGAACTTGATTCCGTTCATATTCCATCAAAAAATCATATCAGTTGCCTCTATCGTTGACATAGTTGTATGTTTAATTGTTCAGCATCAAGCTGGGTGTGATGGAGGACCCCAGTAACCGGTCCCGCCTCGCCAAGCTGCTGCGCTTCCACTCGTCCGCGTCCCCGGACATGACGTTCCTGGCCGACTACGTCGCGCGGATGAAGCCCAACCAGAACCACATCTACTACATCGCCGGCTCCAGCCGCGCCGATGTACGTATGCACATACCGACATTATATATGTATATATGCTGCGCTTCCACTCGTCCGCGTCCCCGGACATGACGTTCCTGGCCGACTACGTCGCGCGGATGAAGCCCAACCAGAACCACATCTACTACATCGCCGGCTCCAGCCGCGCCGATGTACGTATGCACATACCGACATTATAATAGGGGTGATGACGGAGTACAGTAAACGAAATTCTATTTAGTCCATCAGTTAGATAATCAAAAAATAAAAATAAAAAATGTGTGCGTGTACTAGTGTACACACGTAAGAAGTGAAACTTCTTTATGGCCTTATTTTTCGAAAAATGATCTACATGCAACTTTCCAGAAATTTGTTAAATAAAGTTAAATTAGATAAAGTTTAAACAAAAGGATTTTATTATAATAGACATGAATACAAATTACTGCCTATGAAACTGTTATGATTACACGGCTCAGTAATCTAAGGCACATGTTCCACCTCCGACGATGAACGATAAGCGAGTAGAAACTAGAAACGAATTGGCAGTCCTGAGTTAAAATGCACGCGCACGGCTTTTGACAGCCAAGCCAGCTTAACCGAGCGAGTATAGCTGAGCGAGTATCGCTGAGCGAGAATCCCTGAGCGAGTATCGCTGGGCGAGTATCGCTGAGCGAGTATCGCTGAGCGATAATCGCTGAGCGAGTACCGCTGAGCGAGTATCGCTGAGCGAGTACCGCTGAGCGAGTATCGCTGAGCGAGTATCGCTGAGCGAGAATCGCTGAGCGAGTATCGCTATGCGAGTTTGGCTGAGCGAGTCTTATCTTTAGTAACTATTGTCAAGATGGCGCGTAACCGAAAAATGTGACGGTAAATTTTTTTCCAACGCCGATAAAGAAGTTTCACTTCAATAAACACGTATTTTTTCTTTGGGCAAACAACCAAAAAATGGTAAAGTTATAGCGCGTCAAAGTTTGGGAGTAGGGGCTCGTGACGTCACTTTTGAGTGAATTTTCACTTATAAGTGTACTCAAACATGACGTCATGGAACTTTTCAAATCAATATATCTCTGCAATGTTTATATTATATGAAAAAAGAAAAAATACGTGTCCAATACTTTTTGATAATCTACCTGATAAACGAAGAAAAAAAATTAGTCATCATCCCTATTATCTATACTGTATTGAAATCCCTCTGAGACTAAAGGGAAACAAATAAACTGATGTTTCCAAAACTTTTTAACCAGGGAAAAGATAGCTGGTCGATAACTAAAATTCACATTTTACCGTAAATTATTTTTCTGATGACTACTCTTCAATTTAGTAGTATTAGAATGCGTTGAAGGTTTGGGAATAGCTACAGTATTTGATCTTTTAGTGTCATTTTTTATTTATGAATTTTTAATGTCTATAATATTTGACCTATTTAAAATCCTTTTTGTGGTTTCTTTGCCTTTTATCTAAGAGGAAGTTGAATAGAGTATACATATATACACATTACTAGCTGACCCATCTAAGTTCGTAACTTAAAAATGGGGGCAGGGGCAATTGGAAGTAGAAGGTTGAAAATTTAGGGTAGTGTGTATGTTTTAACCATTAAAAAAAAATGTCCAAAAAATAAAAATAAATGTTAGGGGTTGACTACCCTTATCAGTTAGGAATATGAAAAACAGATAGGAGCCAATTCTCAGACTTACTGAATATGCATGTAAAACTTCATAAACACTGGTCAAGCTGTTTCAGAGAAGTATGGTAACTAACATTGTGACACCATAATTTTATATATAAGACTAGTGGCCGGCCCTCGCTTTGGTTCGGTGTAGAACCGAAGTGTAGACTACAGTTTTTGTTCAAAGGCTTGTATTGTACACAATGACATTCTTTATAATAATAATAAACTTTCCAATCCAAGTATAAAATTCGTTGCGTAGTTTAGGACCCGTTGTACCGACTGCAACATTGCTCTGCTGTTCCGATTTGAAAAATATTTTTGTATTGAACAGTGCATTTATCGAGGATGGCTATAGGTTATATATTACTAGTACAGCGGAACATTGATGAAAAATGTTGCAAAAACGGGTAAAAATATTCCATTTGTGAGATTCCGTTGCGTGCGCTGGGTAAACGGTTAAATTTACAAAAAAAATATGTATGACGGAATTCTTCCACTTTAAAAGTTCTGTAAAAAAGTCCATGACAGCCTATGTCCATATTTTAAGTTTGACTCACTATAAACCTTTTTCTTCAAATTAACGCGGGTGAAAACGCTGGGACCTCTAGATGTGACGTAACTGTAATAGTTAGACATATTTTATTTTAGGACATCACTTTGCTCTATTGTCCATGACTTCCTCAGTGTACGCGATATAAGGCAATTTTTTGATATTTTTTACACACGTTCGGTTACATTATCGAAGTTTTCATACGGAACTCTAACTTTTTGAATATACACTATAGCCTGTATTAATCAGTGATAATGTAGAATTCAAACGGTGAAAGAATTTTTAAAATCGGTCCAGTACTTTTTGAGCCAATTCGTTACAAACATACTTGCATACAAATCTTTCCTCTTTATAATATTAGTATAGATTAAAGGCCTGTGCCCCAGCAGTGTGGACAGTGATAGGCTGATGATGATGATAATGAAGAACCGTAATTCCCTCGTCAGGTGGAGAAGTCTCCGTTTGCGGAACGTTTGGTTCGTCGCGGGTACGAGGTGCTGTACCTGACGGAGGCCGTCGACGAGTACTGCCTGTCCTCGCTGCCCGAGTACGACGGCAAGAAGTTCCAGAACATCGCCAAGGAGATCTTCGACCTGGACGAGAGTCAGTATAGTCTTTTGTTGTTGTAGCTCTAGCATATTACTATAAATTGTTTACAGGTGTATAGATTTTCAGACTATTTAAAAAAAAGAAAAAAAAATTCAATTGATCGCTTAGTGTTCAACGGTGTGTAACAAATATATATGTTACTTTTAGCGATCTATATCCATATTATATCATAATTAATAGTCGAAAAGTATGTTTACGTTTCACAATTATTGTCTATCGTCAGGACAAGTTTTGAATAAAAGTTTTTTTTTGTTATTCCGCCATTTTCTATAACTGATAACTCACGTCTCGACACGCGTGAGTAAGTTGAGCTTATTTATTGAGCATTCAAATTCACTCCAAATCAGTGATAAACTCGATTTATAAAGAAATGTAATGGAAGTTGTACGAAAATTGCATACACAAGCAACAGAAATTATCTATAGAAAATATTACTAGAAAAAATTCTACGCGGGTCAGGCAGCAGACGGGACCCAAATCCGTACCCTTCGCTATCCGGGCGATTGCACTGTGTTAACGCATGATTAAGAAGTTCTGCCTGCACCGGAATGTTGCTCCATTACTACCCGTAGAAGCAGTTTTGACCCTCGTGATCAAAAAACCTCCTTTACACTTGTCACTCTCCCCTTTATTCAAAATTTGTACGCTCAACTTTCTTTGGCAATTTTCGTTTCATTTATTTATTTTGTAATTATGTTCGCAATGTACGCTTTATTCAAGAAACAATTAAGCTTTATCAAAGAGTAGAGGAGAGTGACCATTATGCTACCGGAGCTCTGATGGCCGTGTCGAATACTTTCTTATTTATTTATTTTTTTATTTTATTGACAAAGATTCACCAACAACATATAATTTTACATTACAATTTGAAAAAATATATAAATACCATACTTAAAGATATGCTTTTTAATAGGTGAATACAACATTCACGTAAATACAAATAAACTACAATGACAGATTAAACAAACAAAAAATATATCCTAGTGGATAAATAACAATGATAGTTCATGAAAAACAGGTATACTGAATTATAATATTATTAAGTCTGTGTTACGGTCTAATTTTATTTTTTCCACAAACAACCTCTTATATACGCGCTCAGTATTGTGGAAAACATGGACACTGCATTCTTGTAAATCATTGTAGGTACGCATACACCGGTATAGAGGAGCACACTCACCAAGTCTAGTATTATCACGAGGGAGATCAAAGCTTTTTGACATCGGATGTCTAGATAAGGGACTTTAATATTCACCTGTTTAATTAGATTTGGACAAATCAATTTTCCATTGATAAGCTTGTGAAGTGTCATAAGATCAGATAGTCTGCGTCGGTCAGCCAATGGCGTCATTTTGAAGTGAAGGAGACGATTGTATTGTGATCAGCATCCCGGGGAAAATCGCGACTACGATAAGCTAGGTAACGGGTAAATTTTCTCTGAACGCGTTCTATCCTATGGGAATGCACTTTATAGATGGGGTTCCATATGTTTGAAGCATACTCCAACTTACTGCGAACGAGAGCATTGAATATGGTTTTAAGGGTATCAATGTTTTTAAAATCCTTGCTGACACGATTTACCAAATCCAACCAATATGATCTACAAAATTCAATTTTGAATCCAATAACACCCCAAGGTCACGGATATTGGACGATTCTTTTAATCTATGGTCAGAAACACTATAATAAGATGCAAAAGGAGTCTCTTTTTTTGTAAATTTTACACGAGTGCATTTTTGCGGATTAAGTTTCATCTTATTAGCATTACACCACTCAACCACCGCATCGATATCCCTCCGCAACAGGGAAGAGTCTTCCTGATTGTTTACAACTCTGTATAGTTTTAAGTCGTCAGCAAAAATCGAAAATTTGCTATATTTGATGGAAACAGATATATCATTAATAAACGCCAAGAAAAGTATCGGTCCAAGGTGGGAGCCTTGAGGCACACCTGAAATTGAGACATAATCATCTGATTTATATCCATGTACCGTTACGCTTTGGATTCTGTCTCTTAAGTACGAACTTATCCACCGCAAAATGTCACCATGAATACCGTAAGCTTTCAGTTTTGATAGAAGAATTCCATGGTCTACTTTGTCAAATGCACTGGAAAGATCGGTCTATACAGAATCTACCTGCAAACGACCATCAACTGACTTAATTAGTTCCGTTGTATAATCCATCAAATTAGTGACAGTCGATTTACCACTACAAAATCAATGTTGAGAATCTGTTATAAAGTTTTTTAAATAATTTGTTAGAGTTTGATAAATAATACGTTCAAATACTTGCGCAAATCGACTTATGATTGACACGGGTCGGTAATCAGTTACATTCTCTTTATTGCCTTTTTTGAATATTGGTGTAACATAAGAACGCTTCCACTCAGAGGGGAATATACATCACCTGATGTGAGAGATTTTTCAAAAATAAGTTTAAGAGGAAGCGTTAAAAACTTTGAAGTTCTCTCGATAAACAGGGGGGGAATCCCATCTTTCTAGCCTTTAAGCTGCAAGGCAGCGCCGTCTCTTCCCATTATAGGTAACCCACAAAGTCGAATGATTACATTTACACGTATTAAACATTTGAAAGAAGACAGCGATTATAGTTTAATATTTATTTTTAAGCATGAAACTGCTCGATGTCGTTTGACCCATGTTCTTTCGCAGGTGAGGGCGAGAAGGAGCGCGTGGAAGCGCAGAAGAAGGAGTTCGAGCCCCTGCTCAAGTGGCTCGGGGACAAGCTGGGCGCCTTCATCACCCGCGCCGCCGTGTCCCGCCGACTGGCGCGATCCCCCGCCGCCCTCGCCGCCACCGCCTTCGGGTGGACCGGCAACATGGAGCGCCTCGCCATGTCCAACGCGCACCAGAAGGTATATATACATACATATATACACATATATATACATAGATATATACCGCCGCCTCGCGCGCTCCCCCGCCGCCCTCGCCGCCACCGCCCGAGGGTGGACCGGCAACATGGAGCGCCTCGCCATGTCCAACGCGCACCAGAAGGTATATATACATACATATATACACATATATATACATAGATATATACCGCCGCCTCGCGCGCTCCCCCGCCGCCCTCGCCGCCACCGCCCGAGGGTGGACCGGCAACATGGAGCGCCTCGCCATGTCCAACGCGCACCAGAAGGTATATATACATACATATATACACATATATATACATAGATATATACCGCCGCCTCGCGCGCTCCCCCGCCGCCCTCGCCGCCACCGCCCGAGGGTGGACCGGCAACATGGAGCGCCTCGCCATGTCCAACGCGCACCAGAAGGTATATATACATACATATATACACATATATATACATAGATATATACCGCCGCCTCGCGCGCTCCCCCGCCGCCCTCGCCGCCACCGCCCGAGGGTGGACCGGCAACATGGAGCGCCTCGCCATGTCCAACGCGCACCAGAAGGTATATATACATACATATATACACATATATATACATAGATATATACCGCCGCCTCGCGCGCTCCCCCGCCGCCCTCGCCGCCACCGCCCGAGGGTGGACCGGCAACATGGAGCGCCTCGCCATGTCCAACGCGCACCAGAAGGTATATATACATACATATATACACATATATATACATAGATATATACCGCCGCCTCGCGCGCTCCCCCGCCGCCCTCGCCGCCACCGCCCGAGGGTGGACCGGCAACATGGAGCGCCTCGCCATGTCCAACGCGCACCAGAAGGTATATATACATACATATATACACATATATATACATAGATATATACCGCCGCCTCGCGCGCTCCCCCGCCGCCCTCGCCGCCACCGCCCGAGGGTGGACCGGCAACATGGAGCGCCTCGCCATGTCCAACGCGCACCAGAAGGTATATATACATACATATATACACATATATATACATAGATATATACCGCCGCCTCGCGCGCTCCCCCGCCGCCCTCGCCGCCACCGCCCGAGGGTGGACCGGCAACATGGAGCGCCTCGCCATGTCCAACGCGCACCAGAAGGTATATATACATACATATATACACATATATATACATAGATATATACCGCCGCCTCGCGCGCTCCCCCGCCGCCCTCGCCGCCACCGCCCGAGGGTGGACCGGCAACATGGAGCGCCTCGCCATGTCCAACGCGCACCAGAAGGTATATATACATACATATATACACATATATATACATAGATATATACCGCCGCCTCGCGCGCTCCCCCGCCGCCCTCGCCGCCACCGCCCGAGGGTGGACCGGCAACATGGAGCGCCTCGCCATGTCCAACGCGCACCAGAAGGTATATATACATACATATATACACATATATATACATAGATATATACCGCCGCCTCGCGCGCTCCCCCGCCGCCCTCGCCGCCACCGCCCGAGGGTGGACCGGCAACATGGAGCGCCTCGCCATGTCCAACGCGCACCAGAAGGTATATATACATACATATATACACCGTGTCCCTGAGGATATACATTAACTTTGAATAATACTTCTATAGCTCTTGTTAAACATATCGTACAAAGAAAGTGGTAGTTTAAATAGCATATTTTTTAAGTTATTGGTAATTTAAGTTTAACCAACTTAATTGTTTAGTGCGGTGAGAAAGAGTCTTTATCTGTGAGATGTTGCCACTTTGTGCAACCAGAACTATCAAACTATCAACTCTTCATCAATGGTCATTGAGTCATACTTTCAAAAGCCAAAATTAAAAAAAAACATTGTTGATCAAAATGGTCTGAATAACATGCCAAAGTTGGTGTATAACCTCAGGAACACGGTGTATACTAGCGGCCCGCCCTCGCTTCGCTTCGGTGTAGAGTTGAAGTGTAGACTACAGTTTTTGTTCTCAGGCTTGTATTATACACGATGACATTCATCTATAATTCTTCTTATACCTGCATGCAAAGTCTCAGCGCGATCGGTTTAAAAAAGTTTCATACAAACTTTCATTCCCTATTTTATCCCCTTGGGGGTAGAATTGATCAAAATTCTTTCTTAGCGGATGCTTACGTCATAACATCTACCTGCATGCCAAATTTCAACCCGATCCGTCCAGTGGTTTTGACTGTGCGTTGATAGATCACTATATCAGTCGGTCAACTTTGAGTTTTATTTAAATAGATATACCGCCGCCTCGCCATATCCAACGCATACCAGAAGATGATATACACCCACACACCTTCCACATGTCATCCACATACCGCTCACGCGCAATCCAGATATCTTCCACATGGCCTCCACGCGTCGTCCTCGTGCTGTCCACTAGTCATTCACATATCTTCCATATGCTGTTCACACACCGCTTCCACCCTATCCACACATGGGTCGCAAACCATCCATACATCGTCCACATGCCGTCCACACCCTAGCTAAACGCCCACAAATATAATTTTCTAGTAAATGCCCGTAGCTTCGTCTGCTTGGTTTAATCGGTTTCCCGCCCAACCTTCTACCCCTCTTTTCACCCTCTTGAAAGATGATTTCTATATAGAAAACTATTCTATGTCCTTTTCAGAATCTTAAACTATCTTTGTACCAAGTTTTATAATATATCGCCTCAACGGTTTAAGTGTGAAGTACCAAACAATCATGATACACTTTCACATTTTATAATATTCGTATGAATATAGATAACCTGGATTGAGACAAGAATCAACTTTATATATCTAAAAGTAATAGATTTTCGTGGGATACTAAAAAAAGCGAAATTGAAAATAGAAGCTAGTCATAAATTAATTTGAACGAGTAAACGTAATAGCATCACAGTGTTGCCAACTCTACGTCTTTTTACGTAGATCTACGTATTTTAGGCCTTTTCTGCAAACCTACTAACTTTAGTCCCAAAATCTACGTATTTTCTTGAATTTTTTCAAATTTGTAAAATAACTTAATTCACTAGAATAAAGAAGAATATTTTCCGTTACTTTTCTTAAAAACAATAAAAAAAAATATTTCTTATACAGATGTATCTAACTCTTGTATCTTGTAGAAAAGGTTCCCGTCATTGGTTTTATTGACTAAATTAATGCTGGACGCAGGATTTGTGAAAGGAGAAACGACAATACTCTTTGACTTAGTAGGTACATTCGTAACCTTAAAAATTGAATTTTTAAACTTTAAATATTGTTCAATGAGTACTTACATCGAATTGATGTTTGCAAAAAGAAATGACTTTCAGTCGATAAAGTTACAGGAATTAGAAAGTTTTTAACATGTGTTCATGTATAGTGTATGTATTATTTCTCGCAATTTTAACCACAACTTTCTAGAGTCTTTTACCAAGTGTATTTCATGTGATCTATTAGAAATCATGGTTTTATAATACCGCATGGTCATGGTCTACCGCAGCATGGTAAATGCTTCCAATGCAGCGATTTCTTCAAGAACTCTTTGTTCCATCTCTCATTTTTAAAGAAATTGTATAACAAAATACTCGTTTCATTCGGACTTCTTCATTTCACTCAGAAAAAAGTACGTAGATGTACGTACTTTTCATATGCAGAAATTACTAAATCTACGTAATTTTCTCATCGGGCCTACGCCTTTTTCAAAATCCGAGTTGGCAACACTGTAGCATCACTCCCTGAAACGTTGCCCTTTTTGTTTGGTTCAGGCTGACGACGCCCAACGCAAGCACCACCTCACTCAGAAGAAGATGTTGGAGATCAACCCGCGGCACCCCGTCGTCGTGGAACTGTTGCGAAGAGTGAAGGACGACCCTGAGGATGAAGCGGCGATCCGTGCCGCGAGGACTTTGTACCGCACCGCCGCCTTGAGGTATCTACACTACTCTACACCATACATTATACTACAATAAAATAACACATCGATTTGACAAAAGAAGAGTAGACCATAACAGATTGTTTTCCACTCCAAACGAGATACTTGTATGAAAAAAAATGGATGCGTGTAACTTATGTACGCGCGTGAGAAGTTATACTTCTTTAGCATCATTAAAAATATTTTTTAATTGCATGAAAATAATTAATAATTACAATAAAATAATAAAAGGACTGGAAAAGGATAGTTAACACAGTCAATTAAGTTCAGTTAATTAAATAAATAAAGAAAAATTAAATAAATATTCAAAATATTCAATTAAAATCACTACTGAATTTAAGTTATTAGTCCATATGTAATTAGCACTTGTAAGTACATAACTAAAACACGTTGTGTCTATATAGAAACTAGAAACATGTGGATAAATATTATAAATATGAAAACAGTGATCAGAGGCGACGAGCGTGCCAACATTGTTTTTGACAACGCGATCATCTTATGGAGCTCCGTGGATCGTTCAAAGTACCTTTCGAACAGATGTCTAATAATGGTGGATTATTAACCACTTAGTGGTTTCACCATTATTAGACACTAACATTCATAACGCGCCCGCGGCCAACTTCATGGTGTTACTATTGTGTTACAGTGATGCGCGCGCATCTCGAAATTTCAATCACATGATTTTTTCATAACGCGGCTAAAGAAGTATAACTTAAAAAAAAACATTTAATTTCTTTATTGTATATCCACAATGTACAAAAAGATGATAAATACAAGTTATGAAAAAATACAATCACTACAAAGGGTCCATAACTCTAACACGCAAACTTAAGACTATGTCTGCCTTATTACAAAACGTAGCCTAAAGTTAAACCGGGACTAAAACTGATGCTGTCACTTTTGTTTGCTAAAAGAAATAGGTTTTGAGTTAGAGAATTAGGTTTAAACCGAGACTAACTATAGTCCGAGTTTATTTTGATTACTTAAATCTAGGCTTCTACGATCTAACAGAACGTACACATATTCCTCTTGGTCAATAAATAGTTGTAAACGTATGTTTGATTCCGTAACTGTCCCTCCCATAGGTCGGGCTACATGCTGCAAGAAGGCCAAGCGGTAGATTTCGCGGAATCTGTTGAAGGAATGCTGCAACTATCACTCGGTCTTCCCGCCGACGCCAAACCCGATGAGGACGAGCCGATAGACGACATCGCCGACAACGCTGACAACGCCGAAAACATCGACGCCGACGCCGACCACGACGAACTATAAGACGCCGCCATCTAGCGAGAGAATTGAATCCATACATGCGCCTGCGATGCAAAGAAAAAGCTATACGAAAGCACTTTTCCATTGAAATTATATAATAAATTACCTAATATATTTTTCAGCCTTATATTTATAAATGACTTTTGCTAATAACACATCTAGATTTAAAAATTAAACCTGAATAAGGAAACTTAGCTTATCGAGCAAAACGTTTAGCTATGATCAGAAATTATAATTGATCGCACAAAAGACGCATGCATAGATTTAAATCTCTTAAATTAAATGTTGATAACTCGTTCATTCCACAGTCGTGAGTATTTCGAGCTGACTCCACGCCCCACTCCCGCGCCGCCTACTCTATTATGTATGGATATTTTGTATATTCATTACGAATGAATTTCAGTTTGTCTGCGACCACAATACTAGAGACTTACTTGATTGAATGAAAATTGATTTCAATTGTTATTATATTTTGTTAAGTTGGTCCGCTCGATTGTACGTTGCGCGTCGCGAGTTGTCATCAGTGTTGTCCGTATGTCACATATAATTTGTCGTCAGTATGTTTAGTATAATGATGTTGGATGCGTTGTGAATGTAAGTATGAATTGTGAATGTTTCCTGCATTTATGTGCGAGTGTTTTTTTTATATAAAGAGCATGACTTAGGGATACTTTTGTAAATAAATATATTTATTTAATAGTTTTGTTTCTTTTATTGCTATTTCCCACTGACCTCACATATTATTATATACAACCCAACAACGCAGCTAAACAGCGATGTGTATTTGAATATATATGTAATAAAATTAAAAGGACTGAAAGCTCATTTTAGATAAATGGATTTGCCGTCACCTGACTCATAATGGTCAATTGGATACTAAGCGCATCGAAGCGTCAATCAGAAACGTAACATAGCAAATAGGGAATAAGCATGTAGTTTAAAATATAAGCCTCATTTGAATCAATATTTCTTAATAAAAATCATATTATGAGGTTGCTAAAAACTTGAGCGAAACTCGAATATTTTGAAACGCGACAAAAGCGGTTCTGGCATGTTGTGACGTAACAATATAGTCTGTGCGGAAAGAGAATGGAATTTAGATTGGAGGGCGCTGTAGTGCTTTTCTTTTTAGTATTTGTAAGGTTTTACCCCTTTTAGACATGATTAAATACAAAAAACTGCGAGAAATCACAACAACAAGCAAATCCGTATCAATACAAAACTTTGACGTTTTACAGATTGCTGAGTTTGATTGCCAAATAAAAATCTCAATGTTAGTTCCGTTTTCCGCCACGCCCATTCTCTCTCAGCACAGACTCTCTAACAACGTGAATTTTAGAGGATATGCCAATTTCAACGAGAATATTTCAAAGCTACTATCTAGGTAGAACGCGTTCTACCTAGATAGTACAGTCAATCTGTCGAAAAAAATATCGTTTCAGTGAAAAAAAAACCTAAAGGGTAAGTCTTGTTTTTTCTGTTGCCAAATGACGTCAGTAAGCCACCTTGGCGATGGGCACGTTCAACTCGTAGGCGTTTTTTGAAAAACTCAAAAAAACCATCAAAAATTTTTTGAAACGCATTTTTCTTGTTTTGTTTGCATTTTAGAAACTTTTTTTTTCGACCATAATTGTAGAGGGCGTTGAGTACTACAATTTATGTCATTGTGGCAATCTCGTTTAACAAAGAATGCGCATTGTAGGTGGCGCTAAAGTCTCAAAGTGTTTTTTCACTTTTTCATCCTGAAAATATCGTTTTAATGGAAAACTTTAAATGGAAAAGTTGTTCCGTACATAATTACCAACAACTTTTGTATAAACATTTTTTTTGTATTACTTACCGTTTTCAAGTTATAAATTGCGCAGGTAGGAAAACTCCAATAGTTACAATTTATGTATGTTTAAACCGGTGGAATCTTGCAACAAAATTTTAAAATAATTATGGAAGCAGATATCTTCATTCTGAGCTGAAAATTTACTGACACGTTTAGTTTGGGTAATAATGCATGGTTAGCTATGTGACGTCATTCTAAACCCAATAAGGTGGAACATACAAGATGGCGGACTAGTTATTTTTAACGCACTTTTACAATATGGGTATCAAATGAAAGGGATTACTGAGAACAACTCAAAAATATAGTGACGTCATCTTAAATCCAATATGGTTTTACATATTCTTCAAAAAATGTCCTCTTAAAATTTTTACTATCATCATATAACGTCATTACACAATTTATATAAGATAAAAGCTTGTAGCGAGATTTACCTATTACAGAAATATAATTTAATTACATTTAAATTTTAAAAATTTCAAACTAAGTAAATATCAGTATACCCACTAAAATCTGGCGACAAGGTTTTAAAGAATATACCTATATTGTGTAATAATATGATGAGTAAAGGTTTTATACGAAATTTTATTTTATTCTTTTTAGCATTTGAATTAAAGCTTGTTTAAAAAAAACGAGTGTGCTTATGACTACACGACTGAAGTGAAACTTCTTTAGCTCCATCTGTATGTATATATATACAGGGTGAAATTGAATGTTTCAATGAAACTTCGTGGGATTATTGGGTTACGTATATAGAGTATCTCTGAATTTTTTCGGATTTTTTAAAAATGATTTAAAATAAAATTTCGTTTTTTTTGTTATATTTTAATCTCCTTTTGGGTACTAAATAATTATTCTTTTTAAACACGCATACAGAGTAAGTAAAAAACAACTAATTAGCACTACTAAAAAAACGTAAAAACAGAAGACGAGCGGTCGGGAGCAATGACCGCTCCCGCCGTTGAATCGGTTGAATACCTACCTATGCGCGGTGCAAAGCGCAGTGAGCGAGCGCAGTGTCAAGTTTATCCACCGCGCGTGCGTATCTTTTAAATTTGTGACAAGAGAAGATTTGCAAATAATGCCATGATTAGTTCTTGTTCTGTGGCCTCAATATAAGAAGTTGGATATGGTGTATTGTTATTGTAGTGTCAGCAGAGCCACAAGGCTTTACGAAAGTAGGTTTGGTGATTGATTGTGTTTACAAAGTGTATACGGGAAGTTTAAGTGAAAAAAATGAATAGGTACATCGGTCTCGTAAGTACTTTTGAATACCGGGTTATAAATTTCACCCAAGTATTGAACTCCAATAAGTATTTCTTTTTGTTAAACATTTGCCTATTTCTAATCGTGACAAAATTATTATTAACATTTTTTTGAAGTACTTATTTATTAGTTATTTTTCACTGGATATGTAAGTTTGTTTGTTTAAAATGAATAACTACTCAAAAGGAGGAAAGGACATAAAAATACACAAATTATAAATAAAAACATGAAAAAAAAAATACTTCAAAAAAATCCGAAAAAATCAGGCATACTCTTTTCACGTAACCCAACAATCTCACGAAGTTTCATTAAAACATTCAATTTCACCCTATATAGTTCTGTACAATATATACATATTTCATTTTTTTTTTTTTTTATAGATAGATCCGACAAATGACTCCACCCCACCTGATGTTAAGTGAAGGTCAAGTCCAGACGCGAAGATAGCTGATACAGCAGTTCTAACTGCCACACCAGCCATCCTCACCCTGCCGGCCTGCAAGTTGCTTCTTCACGCCTCTTTTAAAGGATCCCAGGTTGTAAGAGGGAGGGAACACGTGAGCGGGCAGAGCATTCCATTTACGGATAGTACGACAAAGAAATGAGTCACCAAATTTCTTTGTACGCGTTGGAATTGTAGCCACAGTTAGATGGTGACAACGTAAGCCAGCGCGCGTGGTCCTCTGAAGGAAAGGGGAAGGTGGAATAAGAGAGAATAACTCCTCAGAACACTCGCCGTGGTACAGGCGATAGAACGCGCTTAGTGACGCCACGTCACGGCGTAATTGAAGAGGCTCGAGGTGTTTAGTCACCTCCTCATCGCCTATGATGCGGATTGCGCGCCGCTGTAACCTATCCAAAGCATCGAGCAAGTACTTAGCGGAGCCATCCCAGAGGTGCGAGCAATATTCCACGCAAGACCGCACCTGCGTCTTATACAACAAGCACAGTTGCTCGGGCGTGAAAAAACGCCGCACCTTGTTCAGGACTCCGAGTTTGCGAGAGGCTGTTTTTATCACACTTTCGATGTAATTCTTTGGATTTAAGTCACAGCGAATCTCCATACCGAGCATGGTGATACTGCTCTCTAGCTCCAGTGTTGTGCTCTGAAGAGAAGGACATAAAAGGAATGGCGACGTTTTTGCCGTGAAAGCACAGACCTGGGTTTTCTTAGCATTGAACTCAACCAAGTTCTTGGTACCCCATACAGAAATGTGGTCCCAAGCTTGATTGAGCTCAATAACAAGATTCTCCCGTTTCTCCTTGGTTACCGCCTGCCCAGCGGCTGCTTGTCCGAGATACCCCGCATGCACTGTACTATCGTCTGCATAGCAATGAATATTCCCAAGAGGAATTAAGTCATTGATATGCAGCAGAAAGAGAGTGGGGGATAGGACGGAGCCCTGGGGAACGCCGGCATTCACTGACATGAACCGCGAACTGCTACCATCCGTAAGGACACGAATTCTACGCTCATGCAGGAAGTCAGCTACCCAAGAACAGAACTGGGCCGGCAGACCGTATGCCGGAAGCTTGGAGAGAAGACTTTTGTGCCAGACCCTGTCGAATGCCTTGGCAATGTCAAGGCTAATAGCCAACGACTCGCGTCGCTTGTCGATTGCCTCACCCCAGATATGAGTCAAGTACGCTAGAAGATCACCCGTCGATCGTTTCGGTCTAAAACCATATTGACGATCATTGATCAGGGAGTGATCCTCTAGGTAGCGGGTCAGATGGTTGTTAAGGACCTTTTCTAGGACTTTACATAATACTGAGGTGACTGCTATTGGCCGGTAGTTAGCCGGGTCTGAGCGATCCCCTTTTTTGGGTACCGGTTGCACGTTAGCATCTCTCCAAGCTTCCGGCACAAGCCCCAAAGAATACGAGCACTGGTACAAACGCGTGAGCACGGGAGACAACTCCGCTGCACATTTTTTCAGTACTACTGCTGGGATGCCATCGGGTCCACTAGCTTTCCGGACGTCGAGTGATTGCAATTCGGCACGAACCTCACGCTGCCTGATTTTGATATCCGGCATCGTTGTGGCACAATGAGGTAATGATGGTGGCGGTGCATTGCAATCATCGATTCGGGAGTTAGCCGCAAAGAGTTTTGCCAGTAAATCGGCTTTCTCCTGCGGCTTATGAGCTAGTGTTCCGTCTGGGCATCTCAGAGGTGGCAACGAGGGCTGGCAGAAGTTCTTTTGCACGGCCTTGGCCAAACGCCAATAGCTACGGGAGCCCGTAGGATGCGTTATAAGTTCGTGACCAACACGTGCTACGCGCTGGGCATCCGCTCTGATGTAAGCCTTCTTACAGGCCTTGGAAGCAATATTGTAGGCTGCTTTTAGTGAATCGACCCCGGGATCCTTAATAGCGCGGCCTCTGATCCAAGCACGATATGCCGCTTGCTTACGCGAAGCAGCTTCAGCACAGTCGTGATTGAACCAGAGGTTACGTGTGCCCTTACTGATGAGATTGGAATGAGGAATATAGTATTCCATACCCATTACAATCTCCTCAGTAATAGCAACGGCGCTGGCTGATAGGTCCTTGTCACTGAAGCAGCGCTGCTTCCAAGGGACGGACGCAAAGTAGTCACGCATACCGTCCCAATCTGCCGACCCATAATGCCAAATCCGGCGTTTTACCACCGTTGGACGTGGAGGCTTGGCCTGT